TTGAGGCAGTATCTAAAATGCCTGCCTTGGTTGAAGGTATGACTATTAAACCCTGCAGGTACCACATGAAGTGCAAAGCATGCGCAGCAAACAAGGTGAAAATGGCTGCGAAAGGTAAGGTGTCTAGTAGGAAAGCTACAGAACCATACCAGGTTGTTCATGCTGATTTGGTTGGACCACTATCGCCCTCTTTGGGTGGAAATAGATACTTCATGGTTCTCATTGATGCATTTTCTAGATATATTTTTGTGTACAATCTCAAGCAGAAATCGGAGGCTTTTCCTAGGTTCAAGGAATTCTGTGCTTGGTTGGAAAATGTGCATGGTAAGAAGATAAAGACTCTTTTCAGTGATCGCGGGGGGGAATTCACTTCTCAGCAGTTTGAAGCTTTTCTGACTGAGAAAGGAATTCAACACGATTTGTCTAGTCCTCGCTCGCCATGGCAGAATGGACTTGTGGAACGGGCAAATCAGACTTTGCTTCAAGGGTTAAAAACCTTGCTGCATGATGCCAATCTTCCAGAGAGTTATTGGGCCGAATCTCTCTCGTGTTTTGTTTACAGTTACAATCGCAGGTTATCTTCAGCGATTGGTTGTACCCCCTATGAAAAGATGTTTGGCAAGAAGCCATACATCAAACACATGAAGATTTTGGTTCTGACATGTGGGTTCGCTCACCACAAAACTCCAAGTTAGACAAGTGTGGATTGCATGGTATCTTTCTAGGTTATCAGAAAGGGTCTTACAGAATAATGATGACTGACTCTAAGACAATTAAGCTCACGAGAAGTGTCGAGTACAATGCAAAGTGGGGGAGAATGTGGGAATTTTCCAATGTTATCCTGATGACGGTGATGAGACTGAGGATAGTCAAAAGCAACCACAACAACCCACACCCACTGATGAAGGTTCTGAGTCTGAATCTGAAACTGAATCGGGTGATTCAGAGGATTTCGAGAGTGCGAAAGCCTCTATGCGACCCTCTGAAAGCTCTGATCAAGAATTGGAGGAACCATTGTTCACAATAGGTCGTTTTTCTCCTAAGAAGGAAGAGGAGAGTGTTGAAGACTTAAGGCTAATTCGTAGGTCACAGAGAGCCACAAAAGGCAAACCTCCAAAGAGATTTGCTGATGAGTTTGCTAAGATAGCAGTAACAGCTATTAAAAGCTCCAAGAAGGTATTTGAACCTTCAAGTTTCCAAGAAATCCAGGGTTTGGATTCAAAGGAAGCTGAGCCATGGTTAAATGCCATGAAGGCTGAGCTTGATTCCTTAGAAAGGAACAAAACATGGGAGCTAGTTCCAGTAGTTCCAGGAATGAAACTGCTTGGAAGCAAATGGGTCTTCAAAGCGAAGACAGATCAAAATGGCAAGATAGTCAGACACAAAGCCAGATTGGTAGCCAGAGGTTTTGCACAGGTACCAGGTCAAGACTATCACGAGACCTATTCACCCACAGTGAGATATGAAAGCATTAGGCTTATGCTCAAGCTAGCTGCAGAGGAAAATCTACACATTAGTCACCATGATATTAATACAGCTTTTCTGTACGGATCTCTAGATGAATCACTTTATATGCTTCCACCTGATGGCGTACAGGTAAAACAGGGATTTGTTTGTGCTCTGAAGAAATCCCTTTATGGTCTCAAACAAAGTGCACGGTGTTGGCACACAAAACTCACTGAAGTATTGTTTTCTCTAGGTTTTCAGCAAGGGAAAGCTGATCCATGTGTATTTGTCAAAGAGGAGGGGCAAAAGAAACTGTACTGTTTGTTTTATGTTGATGATTTATTATTCTTTTGGAAAGATGTTGCAATGTACAATAGCGCCCTAGCTCAACTGAAAGAGCACTTTGACATGAAAGATCTTGGTGAGGTAAACAACTACCTATCTCTGGAAATAGAGAGAGATCAAGATGGTAACATTCTAGTACACCAGTCACGGAAAATTGCTGATGTGTTAAGCAAACTAAATCTGATGGATGCTAACCCTGTAGACACACCGATGACAACAGGTTATCAGGTAGATGACACTGAAGAAGCATTTTCTGACACTACACTGTACAGGAGTGTGCTAGGCAAGCTAAACTTCATTGCCAGATGTTCAAGACCAGACATTGCTGTTAGCTGTAATTTGCTAAGCAGACAAGTCAACAATCCTAGTGTCAAGGATTGGAAAGCTCTGAAACGCATAGCGCGGTATTTGAAAGGCACTATGCATTACAGACTGAGATTTAACAATCAGAAGTCTGGTGGTCTTGAGATATTTGCAGATGCAAGTTTTGGAAGTGACGCTACAGACAGGAAAAGTACGTCTGGAGTTTGCTATATGTACAATCAGGGTCTTTTTGATTGGTCATGCAAGAAGCAAACAACAGTTAGCTTAAGTACTTGTGAAGCCGAACTGAATGCACTGTCTTATTCACTTAAGGATTGTGAATGGTTAGTACAATTGTGCAAAGATATGAAAATTCCTGTCAAATGTCCAATCCAGGTTTACCAGGACAACAAAGCATGTTTGGCTTTGCTGAAGTCTGAAGGTTGTAAGCAAAGCACAAAGCACTTACAATTAAAGTTGCAGCATGCTAGGGAATGTATTCAGAAGGGACTCGTAACGGTGTCCTATATGCCAGGTAATGAAATTCCTGCTGATGTATTGTCCAAGATTGTATCAAGGGATCAACACTGTACCTATGTGCAGAAGTTGGGTTTGTACTGATACTGTACGAACACGCTGCCCAGTGATGTTCACAGAAAGGGGGGAGGATGTTGGTTTCTGCTTTCCTTCACTGTGCAGCAACTGCTGTCATGAGACAGGTGTTTACATTCCACAGTCTGTACTGTTGGAGTTTCTCACGGGAAAGGGAGACTGGATGTGACGTACACTGGTTTCCTGTTTTTCACTGTGTGATTCTCTCCGAGCTGTCGAGGAGAGAGGATGCATTTCTCTGCTCCGGCAGAGGCAAGATGTCTTTCTGTAATATACCAGCTTTGAACTGTAAATAAAGCAATAAGGAGTATGCAGCACATTTTCCTCATCCTTCCGCTGGCAACCAGACTCTGCTTTAAATCAACAATGTCATCCAAACACATTATCAAAACCTTCTAGATCTAAAATGTCCACATTTTCAAGAAGTAGCCAATCTTTCAGCCAACAAAAAGCTGCCGATTCATAGTAAAGTTTAAGATCTGGCAGGGCAAATCCCCCTCTTTCCTTCGCGTCTGTTAGTATCTTAAATTTTATTCTAGGCTTTTTGCCCTGCCAGATAAATTTGGAAATATCTCTTTGCCACCTCTTGAAACAGTCCATTTTGTCCACAATTTGTAATGTTTGAAACAAAAACAACATTCTAGGCAATACATTCATCTTTATCGCTGCAATTCAGCCCAACAATGATAACTTCAATTTTGACCATATTTCTAGATCCTTCTTCACTTCTGACCAACATTTTTCATAATTATCTTTAAACAGATTCACATTTTTGGCAGTCATATTCACCCCTAGATATTTCACTTTATTAACAATTGTTAATCCTGTCTCTTTCTGAAACCTCTCCTTCTCAATCTCTGTAAGGTTTTTCTCTAATACCTTAGTTTTCATCTTGTTTAATTTGAAACCCGCTACTTGACCAAATTCTTGGATTAATTGTAATACTCTTTTTGTACTAGCTTCTGGCTCCTGTAATGTCAAAACTAAGTCATCAGCAAAAGCTTTCAATTTGTACTGTTTAGCTCCGAGTTGTATACCTTTAACCAATTGGTCTTTTCTAATCATATTGAGCAAGACCTCCAGGACCGATATAAAAAGCAACCACACTTAGAATAACCAAATACTTGCTCTGTGCCATAGAGAAAATGGGCCAATGTTAGGGGGGTTAACCCCCCTCTTCTGCTTACTTATGGGGTTCATCCTGGAAGCCCCCAACCCCCCAGTGACCCAGTCCAACATTGTGAGTACTATGGGACCTGTTCATTTATTCTTGTTCTGACTCAGAGCCTAGTATGTTTTAGGTACTTGTTCCGTATTTTATGTCCTGCGTTTACATAGCCACTCGCTAACAGAAATTCTTCTCGCTGTCCGCCAGGTGAAAGAGCAACAAAATACACTACAAAATAATAACAGCACCTATAACAAACGATACACTTTTGTATTTGAACGAACAAATGAATAGAGGACACTGTTGATAGCTGGGGACCCTCTTTAGTAAAGGTAAAGGGACCCCTGACCATTAGGTCCAGTCGTGGCCGACTCGGGGGTTGCGGCACTTATCTCGCTTTATTGGCCGAGGGAGCCAGCGTACAACTTCCGGGTCATGTGGCCAGCATGACTAAGCCGCTTCTGGCGAACCAGAGCAGCACACGGAAACACCGTTTACCTTCCTGCCGGAGCGGTACCTATTTATCTACTTGCAAATTGACATGCTTTCAAACTGCTAGGTTGGCAGGAGCAGGGACTGAGCAACGGGAGCTCACCCCGTCACGGGGATTCGAACCGCCGACCTTCTGATCAGCAAGTCTTAGGCTCTGTGGTTTAACCCACAGTGCCACTCGCGTCCAGGGGACCCTCTTTAGGTTGGCGGAAATGCCCTCTGCATCTGTTCGGGGGCACCCATATTCCAGGAGTTCACTCTTGATGCTACTACCAATTAGGTGCCAACACAAAGTCTCCATGAGCTCCAGCTTAAAACTCTATTTTCTTGCCGCCCCCTTTTTTTAATGCCAAGGACGGACAGCTGTCAGGGATGATGGGAGATGCAGTCCAGCAAACATCTGGACTGAGGTCCACAGGTATCCTCATCCCTGGACCACAATCAGGCGAGCCCTTCTTTCCCGGCGCAGCCCCACCCGCTTCCAAAGAGAGAAGGGGGCAAACAAACGTCGTTATATATAAGTGTAACATTTCTTTCACCCAGGCAGCGAGTGAGGGCGGATCTCGCCGCCCACAACCGGGGAGGGGAGGAAGGAACGAGGCTTGGGGAGGGGGAAGCTCTCTCTGGGCTGATTCTCTGATCTCATCGCACAAGCCAGTCAGCTGCGAGCTGTCTGCCTCTCTCGTCAGCTGATCCAGCAGGAGAGCTTTCCGTCTCTCATTGACTCTTCTCCTCTCACTTCCCAAGTGGATTCCTTCCTTCCTTTTTTTTTTTCAAAGATAGCAGCAGCAACAAAACTCTTGCCGGGGAGTTTCTGGGTCAGGAGGAGGATATATTCCGAAGGCTGGTCGGTGGGGGGATTTAAAGCAAAACAACAACACCAACACACACAGCAGCAGCACCCAAGCCCACAAACCCAAACTGGATTGCATTGCAACTTTGCTGCAACTCCGCTCCTTCTGTTCCCTCCGTCCAGGATGGCTTCCAATTTTAACGACATAGTGAAGCAAGGGTATGTCAAGATAAGGAGCAGACGTTTAGGAGTAAGTATTTTTATTTTTTTGAAAAACAAACAAACCAAAACCCTCCACTGGCGTTATTGTACCGTGTTTGATTTATCAATGGGTTGGTGTTGTTTAATCACAGCGTTGGCCACGTGCGTTGTGTGCCGTTGTCCGAGGATCTGAAAGGGAAAACAAGGTTGCATGCTTTATTTTTATTTTATTTTTGACTGTGCAAAGGGCCAGTCCTTTTCCAGGTCTCTCTCCACTGCCATATGTGCATTATAAATATAGAAGCAGCTTGCAGTGCCGTGCAAAGGACATTTCTCGATAACGCATTCAAGCGGGGTGGAGGGAAGGAAAGCCTGCAAAATCCACACTGCCTCTAATGCTATCTTTCCAGTGCCTTAGCTGTGTTTGTGTCTGGAGAAACTAGCAAGCTTTGGAATGTCACAGAACTCTTCTGTTATGGGGTTTGTGGAAGTGAGGCTCATTTCTGAAGATTTATGAGCGTGCTTAGATAAATTTCTTCTCCAATCATATTAGAATTGTCTAAGGGATCTCCTAGTCAGCCAGTATCCCTTCTTAACTTTTCACTTTCAGAAGAGAAGCCAGCAAGCAGACTTTAGGACTCAGTGGTTCAGTGCCCATGCGCAGTTCCCATTCATTTCAATGGGGCTCGCCCAAACGAACTTCCTGGCAGATTAAGAGTGTTGTAGCACCTTAGAGATAAGCAGCCTCATGCTGGACAAGCTCGCTCAGAAATAAGCCCTGCAGGATCCAGTGACATTTACACCCCAATAAATATGCCGCGGCAGTAAATTCAGTGGTATTTTTGCATGCAAAAGGTCTCTGGTGAAACCCCTGGCATCTCCAGGTAAGGCTAGGAAAGATCTCTGTCTGGAACCCTGGAGAGTCAACAGTAAACCATATGGACCAATGGTATGAGTCAGTATAAGGCAGCTCCTTACATTCCTATGCTGCCTTGAACATTGATAAAGAAAGCAGAGATATAATTTTTTTGAATAATGATCAACAACGTAATATGCCTTGATGACAGGCAGCAGTAATGCATTTGTTTCTGAGCCAACATGCAAGGGTGCTACTGTGGACATGGACAGTCCTATCTATGTCCAATCAGAATTAAGTCCCATTGACTGAAATCCCATTGACTCCATACTACAACCCATTAAGTGTGTATAGGATCTCAGGCTGCATTAGCTGGCGCAGACATCAAGCTACAACGGGAATGTAAAATTCACATTGGCCGCAATGTGACAAATATGTAAAATTCACATTGGCTGCAGTGTGACAAGTGCAGTGTGTAGGTAATTGGAATGACAGTTCTTGAATATCATGGTCTCATATTAACAAATCACCTGTTTGAAGGGACACATGTCTTGCTACCTGACTAAATATTAGATGTTCCTTTCAAATGTGTATTGCTCAGCATGGATACAGGTGCAAATGTGAGGATGTCATTTCCTACATACATGGCACTTGTCGGAAGCCTCTGCAATGCATCTTTAGGTCTAAGTTTCGGTGTCAAAATGTTACCAAGAATGCCCCCTCCATGCAACATTTGGTACCTAAAAAAAGCCACAGTCTTTAGTGTGCTAAGTGAGCATGCAACTCTGTACTTGGTTGGAGAGTTTGAGGAAACAGAAACCTATACTATTCCAGTGGGGTTGATATTGTACAGAAGTGCTGGCTATAAATGTTCACAAAGTTTCATGGTATGGAAGGTGTGTGTGTGTTTGTGTGTATGTAGAAGAAATACCTTGCAGGAACATGTGTGTGTTTAAAGATATATCTCTAGACCGGTGCCTTATTGATTGCAACAGAAAATGATGCCTTAATTTCCTGGTTTGGCTATACATTTTACATTTAAGCAATTATTTCATTTATTTACACTTCTGTTCCATTTTGTACTCTAGGTTCATGGAGGTTTATGTAGCAAACCTATGATAGTCTTAACTCCGCCATCATGCTCTCTGCCACACAATGTTGAACTACAGTGATCCATATTAGGACTGGGTTCTGGAAGTCTTGGGTTCAAATTTGAGGGAGGCACATAGTTCAATGGTAGAGCACATGCATTGCTTGCATAAGATTCTGAGTTCAGTCCCAGGCATCTCCATGTAGTGCTATGTGAGACTCTTATGTGAAAATCTGGAGAGCTGTTGTCAGTCAGTGTAGACGTTCCTGAGCAAGATGGACCAATGGCAGCTTCTTATGTTTCTATTCTCACCCATTGATGAATTTACTTGATAGACGTTGGCAGCTCACTATAGTTCTGCCTTGGTTCTTCCATCTGCGAAATGAGAACTATGACCGATCTTGGAGATTGCTCATAAAGAACATATAACTAAGGTGTCTCATGTGGCAAGGAGCAGAGAAAAATAGGTGATGCCTGAATTTCAGATCTGAATTGCAAGTTGACTCCTAGAGTTCTCACTAGGAATGGGATAAATGCAAGAGATGTGTACAAAAATATACCAATGGTTTTTCATCTATGGCAGCATTTGAATGGCCTTGGAAAAAGAAATATAGGAGAAATAAGATTAACGGTACAAATTGTTGTAAGAATGTATTAGAAAATATATAAAGAATAGATTAATAATGGTAGGTATTCAATATTAGAATAAAAGCATACATGGGAATTGACAGGAAGTCCAAAGTTTTTGTGATATTTTTTGTTAATAACTTTTGTTAATAATCTTTGTTAACAGCCGCATAAAAAGTAGGATAAACACAGCTGAAGCTTAAGGTTTATAACTATGTAAGAAAAGACATATATATATATATATTGGTGTGTGTGTATATATGATTGAAATCTCAATTTACTCTACAAGATGTACTATATAAAAAAAAGTTAAGGAGCCACAGAATAGTCACTTCCAATGGTACAGTAAATGTGGAAAGGTGGCCTGTTGGGAGAAGGAGATAAAGCTTGCTAGTTATTAAAAGTTTCAAACAGATGATGCCTTGTGAAGATCATAATGAAATATGCCAAATTGTACCGTGTGCTAGGGCCCTCAGGTACAGTTCACATTAAATTGTCACCTCAGGTGTGGTAAGCTTTCTGTGATTATTGTGCTCATCTATGGTGTTACCCTTGTTAGCTTTGCTGTCATTTTTTAAAAAAGTGTTTGAAACAAACACAGCAAAATGGTCAGTGCTGCTGCTATCATTATATTGCTAATTAATTATGTTTTGCACCAGGTGTAATGAGAAAAAAACCACCACCAGGTGCTTGTTTAGATGGGAGCTCAGGGATTATACAGGTGGAAAGAGGTGCTTATATTTTTGTCCAGGACACCTTATATTGAATTCATGGTGTGGAACAGACCGTCTTGCCAGAGTGGTGCATCCTCTATAGTTATCTTCTGCTTGGACTACTGCAATGCGTTCTACGTGGGGCTACCTTTGAAGGTGACTCGGAAACTGCAATTAATCCAGAATGCGGCAGCTAGACTGGTGACTGGGAGTGGCTGCTGAGACCATATAACACGGGTCCTGAAAGACCTACATCGGCTCCCAGTACACAATTCAAAGTGTTGGTGCTGACCTTTAAAGCCTTCAGTGGCCTCGACCCAGAATACCTGAAGGAGCGTCTCCACCCCCATCATCCAGCCTGGATACTGAGGTCCAGCACCGAGGGCCTTCTGGCGGTTCCCTCCCTATGAGAAGTGAAGTTGCAGGGAACCAGGCAGAGGGCCTTCTCAGTAGTGGCGCCTGCCCTGTGGAACGCCCTCCCAGCAGATGTCAAGGCAATAAACAACTATTTTACTTTTAAAAGACAACGAAGGCGGCCCTGTTCAGGGAAGTTTTTAATGTCTGATGCTGTATTGTTTTTAATATTCGGTTGGAAGCCACCCAGAGTGGTTGGGGAAACTCAGCCAGATGGGCGGGGTATAAATAATAAATTATTATTGTATAGTTGATACCTATTGGAAAAATTCCCCCTCCCCCAAACTGTATTGTCTATTTGATTTGTTCACCTATGTATTTATAAGCTGTTATTTCCTATAATAAAACATGGATGCCTACGGAGATGCGAAAGGAAAAGGGAAAACCTACAAATTCAGTACTGCTATGCATTTCCTTTAAAGTTAAATAGAATAGTTAGAATTAATGGAGTCCAGGAGACATTATTTTGGAGAAAGAGGATGTCACTGTGGCTCCTGGAGATGAGTTTGTGGTTGCTTTCTGCCTCTGTTCCCATTGCTGTGAATTAAGCCATGGTTGGCTTAGCATGTTGTCCAATCCCAGGCTCGTAGTTTCTCTTGCTTTAGACAAACCATAAGCTGTAACCAAACTTTGTTCTTGGCTTACAGTTTGTGCTTTGCCTGGAAGAGACAAACTACAAGGCTGGGTTGGGATGACACCCTAATTGAAACCATGGCCTAGTACGAAGCAAGGTAGCAGCAGAAGGGCTGAGGCACCAACTTCGGCCCCCACTGTGGGTGCCCAACGTTGGCATGCACTGTGCCATGCCCTAGTGAAGTTGTGACATGGCATGATGTCATCATGTCATGTTGTGATGCCACTGCCGTGTAGCACTCTCCGGTGCTGTAGCAGCAACTGAACCAGAGCGAATCTCAACTAAAACATCTGTAACATTCATGACTTGCTTTGATACAACATCATTCTAGCCTCCCTGGAATTAGATCTTGAATACAATATCACAAGCACATGGAATCAGAGATAGGAATAGTGGGTGTGAACGGTGAGTGTTGAGGCCAAAGACTTATTCCTAATGGTTTCAGTGTGATCTTGTCTCATATTAAGCCACAGTTCTCTTTATTTATTTGTTTACTATTTTATGTTATAGTCTTCTTTGGTCATGATGGTGGGTCAAAAAAAGTAAGAGTTAAAATAAGTAGCAATGTACAATTAAAATCATAGTATAAAAACCAGAAAAAATAACCAATATTGGTATAACAAAATGACAGCACAGAACTGTAGGACCACACTGGAGGAGGAGGCAGAGGAGGAAGGAAGATGTCCCCTCAGTCCAAGGCCTGAGGTGCCCCTTGACCAAAGAGGTACAACTTGACCAATAATCAAAAAGCATAACTGATGGAACAAGACAGACCTCATAGGGGAGGTCATTTCACAACCTGGGGGACACCACGGAGAAGACCCTGTCACATGCTACCACCTCTTGAACCATGGAGGGTGGCATCTCAGCCAACCAGGCCTCTGCTGCTGATCTTAACATCTGGGCAGATTGATGTAGGATGACACACTTCTTCAAATATTTGGGGCCCAAGTTGTTTAGAGCATTGGCATGTGACACAGGGAATTATGGCTCAATGTGGGTTAACAATTGAGGAAAATAAACCAGGATTAGTTATTCACTATTATATTATATAAGAGCAGGTACCTTAATTTCCTTATTTTCTTCTTCCTTTGTCCTTCCTCATCCATTCTCCTTTGACATTATAAATATATTATATAAATATATTACACTCTAATTGATTTTTTTAAAAAAAAATGGCACATAGTCTAATAGTCATAATGCCAAAGGATGAGGAAGAAGAAAATAAGGAAATTAAGGTACCTGCTCTTATATAATGATATAGAATGAAATTATAAAATAGCCACTGATGAACTTAGTTTGGGGAGAGGAGAGGTGACTAATTGCATTTGGTCCCATCCAAGCCAGTGGTATGAGCCTCACTCTTGTTATCTGTGATAAGACAGGACACAAAGTCCTGCTAAACATTTGAACCAGCTGAAATATATATATAAACAAGTTTTTGCTTGAAGGCCACAGTAAGTGAATATACATGTAGCAGGAAAGGGAATTACAGAAATGATAGCTGGTGGCTAATTTAAAAATCTGATTTGGGTTATTTACTGTTAGTAAAAGTGCAATTTTACATTCCATTTGAAACGGGCAATTAGCATATTCATTTAATTAAAAAAATAGTTGCCATGGAAGCAATAGTATCACATCCTCCTTCCAAAGAAAAGTAAAATTATCGCATTGCCTCTCTAAAATACCAAATTCTTATAGAAAATCCAGGAATCTCAAGGCTGTTGTTGTCATCATTTTCATTATCATTCTGCAAATTTTTTTATCTGCCTTTTGACTTCCAAAAGGCCCCCCAATGTGGCATCCAGATTAAAAAAACCGCAACAAAACAATAAAAAATGAGATAAAAAACAAACACAGTACATCAATTATATGATTTAAACTATATGTGCACCTTCTGGTTAGGATCCCCAAACAATGACTCAGTTTCTCCCCCTCGTAAGTGAAATACCTCTGAGCATCTACAGAATGCTCTTCCTTAGTAAATGGAATGTGCCATGAAGTGGCTTTGGTCCTCTGCTTCAATTTCAGCATGTAATCTAAGGGCCAAGGTAGTTTTAAAAAACTCTTAAAATCAGCTAGGGAAGCCGAATGCTGAACACCTCACCCACTAAAATTACCCCACCCCCTGCTGCAAGCTGTTATTAGCCCTTCTGGAGAGAAAAAGATCGCAGAGGGTTGAACTAGGTGATCCTTGGTGTTCCTTGCAACTCTCTATTCTATGATTCTGTGATTGAAGGAGAATATTTCAGCTGGGAAATAACACTGGGGGTGAGGATTAAACACTCCCTGTTCCAATGCTTGTTCTCCATTGCTGATTATAAGTTAAAAACAGCTGGGAACATTGTCCTAATGTTGTCCTGGTTTAGACAATACCATACCCTCCAACATTTCTCAGATGAAATTCTCAGATGTCTCATTCCATAACGATAATTTCACTATTTATACCCCACATATCTTATTGGGTTGCCCCAGCCACTCTGGGCAGCTTCCAACATACAGTGGTACCTCGGGTTACATATGCTCCAGGTTACATACACTTCAGGTTACAGATGCCGCTAACCCAGAAATAGTGCTTCAGGTTAATAATCGTGCTCTGGCAGCGTGGCGGCAGCAGGAAGCCCCATTAGCTAAAGTGGTGCTTCAGGTTAAGAACAGTTTCAGGTTAAGAACAGACCTCCGGAACGAATTAAGTACTTAACCCGAGGTACCACTGTATATAAAAACACAAAACATTAAACGTTAAAAAAACCTTCCTTATACAGTGGTACCTTGGGTTACAGATGCTTCGGGTTACAGACTCCACTAACCCAGAAATAGTACCTCGGGTTAAGAACTTTGCTTCAGGATGAGAAGAGAAATTGCACAGTGGCAGCGCGGCGGCAGCAGGAGGCCCCATTAGCTAAAGTGGTGCTTCAGGTTAAGAACAGTTTCAGGTTAAGAACGGACTTTCAGAACGAATTAAGTTCTTAACCCAAGGTACCACTGTACAGGATTGCCTTCAGATGGCTTGGAGGCTGGATAACTCCATACTCTCCAACATTTCTCCCATGAAAGTAGGGACATCCTAAGGAAAAGCAGGACATTCTGGGATTAAATCAGAAACCGGGATGTCTTCTCTAAATCAGGGGTGTCCCTGGAAAACAGGGACACTTGGAGGGTCTGCAATACACATGCTACATATGCTTGTGAGACTGAATGATCTGTAATCACAATATTATGTTGCCTATGCAATATATTATACAGTTATTTATCTGGACTATGAAAACTGAATCCAAAGGGCACTTTCTGCTCTCTACCTAGATCTGCCTTCCTGTAACTCACTGCTTCCTGTTCTATTGTCAGTGGAAGGGATGAGCTACTATATTACATCCTTCCATACTCATTCTACTATTTGTAAAATGATCACCATTTCTCTCTTCCAGTGCTTCAGTCTAATTACGGGTGATTCCATTGGCTGCCTCTCCTACGGTTTTCCTGCTAGATCTTGTATCATCCTTGCAGGTGTCCTGAGAACCTTGTATGGCTTGTCAAAATCCACTGCCACATACTTGGGGGGGGGGTGTCCTTGTGTTCAGAAATAACACCGTCTTTTCCCACCAATTGTAACATGAAGAAGAATCCCAGGCGGAGAGGCTTCTGTTATATATAGAGTGTGAACTGCTAAGACCTGAGCATTCCATAGTGACTTCCTTCCTGCATCTTTGATATCCTCTTTAATGGGGCAACCTGAGGACAAGACTTGGAACTGGCAGGGCTTGATCTTGGATGCAAGCTGCCAAATGTGTTCACAGACCAGTTTAGAGCCACCCACTGCTGTTTCTGGCAGAGGACTCTGAATTCTACCTTGCTCCCCACTTCCCTGTCCTGCTGCTTCTGCAATGATTACAATTTTATCGACCAATAAAATGACAGTTAAGGAGTTACAGACTTCCAAAGGGGCAGTAACAGAGCTATGGGCACCAGGCACCCAGCTGATGCTCACCAGGCCTTGCAGTGCACCAAGATTAATTGAGCTCATGTACCTTCCATGAGCTAGTCAGCCCCATTCCCAGGTGTGTGCAAAACGGTTGCATCTCTAAAATAACCACATGGATTTTGTGATCATGCAGGAATTTATCTGAACATTAAAGTTGTTTCTTGTCTTTCAATCCTATGCAGTGGTATCTCGGGTTACATACACTTCAGGTTACAGACGCTTCAGGTTACAGACTCCACTAACCCAGAAATAGTACCTCGGGTTAAGAACTTTGCTTCAGGATGAGAACAGAAATTGTGCTCTGGCGGCGCAGCAGCAGCAGCAGCAGGAGGCCCCATTAGCTAAAGTGGTGCTTCAGGTTAAGAACAGTTTCAAGTTAAGAATGTACCTCCAGAATGAATTAAGTACTTAACCCGAGGTACCACTGTACATATTTCTGTTAAGCAGAGCATTAGTTTGTTTTCTTTCCCTTTGGGCACTCCCTGCAAAGTTGGGTTGTTTTATTTGATATTACTGTCAAATTCTTCCACTCTAATACTTATTAATGGCCAGGTCTAACTTCTTTATCACCCACTATACCCACCTGTTTATTTTGTGTTTCTATCTTATTCTGTTATATTCATTCTCTCGCTTGCTCTTTGATCAGAAATTCCTTTTTGTTGATAACATTTTGCTAGATTCCTGTGTTTTTTCAAATGTGTCGTACTTCTAAAACATAGTGTCTTCTGTTCCCTGACCCCCAACACCTATCCCACAGTTAAATGTGCAGTGATCCTTGCTGCACATGCCTGCAAGTGGCCTGTATCTGAAACCTTTCTGAAACAATACACCAGGGGACATAAGAACAACCACCCAGTAGCTCCTTCTATGCCCCCACTTACCCAAATTGCATTGAGATAATAAGGCAGTAAATGTCCAGTCGCTGACAAATCCAGCATGGATCAGTAATGGTCCATTGTTAGGGAGCATTCAGGGCTGTGTCAGTGCAGTTTGCCTCTGAATACCAGTTGCTGGAAACTGTGAGAGGGGTTTGGGGCTTCCTATAGGCATCTGGTTGGCCCCTGTGAAAACTAGACTTTAAGCCTGATCCATCAGGGTTCTTCTCATGTAATCTGCTAATCCCTTGACTGGCAGGAGAGAAAGGCATATCTGCCTCAGAATAGTGCCCCTCTTAGTGTGTTACACATTATACCAGTTACCTGGTTTCATCTTCTTTGCCAGTATCATTGACAGGAGCGAGCCAGCAGTAAATTACACTGAGTAAATTGGAGTTAATTCTTGATTAGCAAAAATGGGATCTGCACAGGAGTGTCATGTCTATTGAGCACAGCAACTCATCTCTAGCAGGTCTTGTTGTAAAGACTGAAGGTCCCTGCCCCTCCACAGCTGCCTAAATCCTGTCCTCCCCTGGGTTTCCCCCAAGTAATCTGAGACTATGCCTGTGTGAAGCTAACTACTCTGCCCTCTTCATGCCTCTCCTGGTTCTGGGAGACCAGGAGAGAGGGGAGCTTGTTGCAGCAGCAGCAGGAGACACCTGTGCCTCTTCACCAGCTGGACTCCTCTCTGCCTCTTGGCCTCCCCACTCTCCTGCTTCTGGACTTCTCTTTGCCACAGACTCTTCCAGCAAACCCAGTTTACCTCTTCAGCTTCTGATACCTCCTCCCAGTCTTCTCCCTCTGACCACTCAGCATCGTCCCCCCTCCCCCATGTCTTGGAGCCTTCTTCCCTTGGGGCTTCCTCACCTGGTTTCTGTTATGTATCTCACCCTGGGCCAGCAGGGGGATACTGTAGATAGTTTTCACTCAGGTCCACATATGCCAATAAGGAATTGAAAGTGACGTTCAGTGATTGGATAGTTACAGAAAGTTGTTACAGTTGCGTTGTAGTGGAGCTCTATATAAGCAGGCTGGCTGAACCCTTCAGTTCAGTTCTGTTCTGGGTCTGTGAATAAGCAAGAGCTGTTTGAAGAATCGCTGTGTCGTCTGATATGTTCACCCACAACTTAACAGTTTCTCTCACCATTCTCCTGTGCCCAACCAGTCCATGACAATCATTAAGCAGCACAACTTGAAACCTTTCAAGCCAACTGCAGCTTGGCTGTGTAAATAACTGATCTGATTTTGCTGTTTATCTGGGACTGTAAATACAGAATGTGTGTGTGTGTGTGTGTGTGTGTGTGTGTCAGGCACCTACAGAAGATAATATGTGGCTAGTATGCTGTGTTTGGCTTGCTGGGACACAAGTCATTCAGACTTGCTTTAATTTCCAATCCCCAAATGTACAGGGGTTTTATTTATCTCTTGGTATTTCAACACACGCCATCTTTAGAATGTAAATTAGGACTTTCTTCTATTGCCAATTTTTTTGACAGGCCATTTGTTTGATTTCCCTGTTTTGCAATTATTAGAGAACCAAGGGGGAAACCGAGAGAGTGCGTGAGAGAGAGCACACTGTGATTTTTAAATTCACCGTGCTCGTGTTGGATGCTTTTCTGCACGACCTGCTTGTGCTGACTCTTAGTGGTGTGTAATTTGTAATTCCAGGCCATGTTTTCCCCCAAGATTCCATGGATTTATGTTTTAGCCACATCATAACGGAAAATTTGCCAAGACAAACCGCTAGCTGTCATTGAAGATTTACAAAAGAATATTTTTTAAAAGTTAATCTTGAAGCAGCATCTTGGGAAAAGTTGCAAAGTGCTTTCATGCCTCAGAGATGATGGTTCATGTGTCAGATGAGCTAAAAAAAATGATTCTTATTCTTGAAAGAAGTTAAAAGTTATTAAAGTTATTATTATAGCTGATCATGTTTGCCAAGCCTGTTTTAGGATTGTAGAACAGAGATAGCAGACATATTTCTGCAAGTGTCTGAATTGTTAAGAGTTGCTTTGGTCATCTTTGGCATTCTGTTGAATGATTTCCCTTTGGAAGGATTTCCACAGTGTGCGTAACAGAAATAAATACTTATTCATTCCTTTGGAAAAAAAGAAATTATTATTATTATTATATTGATTAAATTTTTACTTGCTTTAAGGTGCCCAAGGCAGTCCAAAGCAACTTACAACCAAATATAAGTGCCTGTGTATTATATATTTACCTAGTCAGATAGGTTTTCATTGGAGAACATTTGGCAAGTTGTGATAACCAATCTGGTTTTAGTCTGTTATTTTTATTCTGTGTATTTTAGCTTTTAATGTGTTGTCATGACTTTCATGTGTGCGGCCTCGGGCACTTTTAATAAATATTTGGTATCGAATAGGCCACAAGAAAGGTGACAAGTGAGCCTCTTTGAGAAGAGTATTCCACAGCTGGGGTGCCACCACTGAGGAGGCCCTTTCCATTGTAGTTATTGTAACAGAACACTTCTCAAACAATAGTATGTTTTGCATTTATCCAGGACAGCTTGTAACTTTCAGCCGGCGCCTGGTGGTATAGCTCAAAGCTAAGGGGTGCTTCCTCAAAGTAGCAGCTTTGTGTTCAGCAAGACATTCTCCCTGTTTCATATTCCTGCCTTAGGCTGTAACTGGCTTGGATCCATCCCATTCATGCTGGTGTCATTGGTCCATCTAACTCAGTATTTTCTACACTGACTGGCAGTGGTTGGCCAGTATTTCAGGTTACAGATTCCACTAACCCAGAAATTGTACATCGGGTTAAGAACTTTGCTTCAGGATGAGAACAGAAATCGCGTGGTGGCGACAGGGCGGCAGCAGGAGGCCCCATTAGCTAAAGTGGTACCTCAGGTTAAGAACAGTTTCAGGTTAAGAACAGACCCCCAGAATGAATTAAGTTCTTAACCCGAGGTACCACTGTACTGAAGATTAACCTCAGACTTCCTGCATGAAAAGCGGATTTTCTACCATACAGAGAGCTACAGCATTCCTGTCAATCACTGTTCTCATGTGAAGTCAGGACCAGAAACCAGGCCAAGACCTAGAGATGATTTTGCATCATCAAGGCAAAGTCCTAGGTGCAAAAGGAGGCATTTACATCCCTTCCTGTTGAGGAGAGATAGTGCCCAGTCTTGAATGGGAGTGACACTAACCATCCTTCATTTTCTAGGAGTATGCTCCAACCTGTAGACCTGATGGCTCATCATCCTACAAGGCCAGTTGTGCAGAGAGCCAAGGGTTCCTGAAGCCAGTGCTTTTTTCTGGGAGTACACATACCCCTAAATATTTTGTGAATCTAAGTTTGAACTCATTGAGGGGCAGTATTTCAAATATGAGTAGGAGAATGAGAGTACATTCATACCTCATGTTACGTTTGCTTCATGTTACGTTTTTTCAGGTTGCATCCCGCAGTGACCTGGAAGTACCGGAAAGGGTTACTTCTGGGTTTTGCTGCTTGCGCATGCGCAGTAGTGCTAAATCGCGCTTTGCGCATGCACACAAGCACCAAATCACGCTGCGTACATGCGCATATACGGTGCTTCATGTTGTGAACGGGCCTCTGGAACAGATCCCGTTCGCAACCGGAGGTGTCACTGTACCCCTTTAAAGAAAAAAAGCACTGCCTGTAGCCCCTGTAGCGCCTCACAAGAGGAACCACAGCTGCCTGTATTTTAAAAGTCTAGGTTGTGAGGTGATAACTCCAATTTACTGCTTCTCAGTGACTCAGTGCTTAAGCCTTTAGAGTAGTTATTCCCCACTAAATTTTGTGGAAAATGATTTGCTGGTTACTAGTGACAATTAAGGGAAGTTGCTTAAAGTAATGCATGCCATTGGCTATTTCCTTTCTATTCTTCATTGGCGGAGCTTAATTAAATGGACTTGCATTGATCCAAATCAGCACAGGAGCTGATTGAAAGTAATCCAGTTACTTTATATAGAACATTTAGATGACAACTTCCAGGGCAGAACCTTCCCAGGGCGGACTGTGTCAGAAACTTAATGCATAATGCATCATATATCAGCAAAGGCAGTGTCTCAAAGAAAAACATTAAAGCATGAACTTTTTGCGCCAGTAACACCAACAGTCAACAAACTGGGGAGGTTTTCGAGAAAGTTATGAGAGTGGAAAAGGTCAGGGAGATAAATCATATGTGGGCAAATGGAAATAGCAAGGTATTTTAGAAAAGCCAGTTAAGGCTGCAGTTCTGAGCACTCACACTGAGAACTCGTTGGAAAGTCGACGTGTTTAGATCAGGCTGCAAGATGATTATAATACTCAAACACAAAATATAATGTTCTAAAAGGGAGCAATTGTTCTCTTGATCTACTGAGAGAAGCAGCAATAGCAATGCTGTCTGGGCTATAAGATGACAATTTAAACTGAGCTGCTCACCGGAACAAACAACTGAGAGGGCGTATGGAATTTCCTTCCCAAGAAAAGATGGAGCAGACATCTGCCAGGAATGGTTCACGTTTACAACGTGGCACCTTAGGAAACGGCTGTGGTCCCATCTACGTTTTACATTTAGTTTCAAAAGGGAAGGCCTTGATTTGAACTGGGTCTCAGGCAGTAGTAAGGGAGAAGGAGAATGCTAGGGAGTTCAGCGTGGAACTTTTTCCATAGCAGGAGTGATGATGTCAACAATGAGAGCAGCAGGTTATTTGATGGAGCCTTCTTGCTTTGGAAAACGAATGAGTTGACGGCGAGGCTTTCAAGTTTGTTTTCAACAGATCAGCATAGAGGAAGGCCATAGGGTGAAGCTGGTTATTTATTCCCTTTTCTTTAATGCAGTTTAAATGGTTGTACTTCTTTGCAAGTTGTTTTTGTTTCCGATTGAATGCCTCAAAGCAGTGGTTCCCAATTGGTGGTCTGTGAACCCCAGTTGTTCTATATAACCCACCCAGGGTGTCTGTTGCACCATTCACATAACAAAAACTATTGTAGAGATATCAAAATTTTCAAAAATAGTGGGTTAATGGCTTGGCTTTTGAAAAACAGGGGGGCTGCTGTCACGGTTGCCATAGCTTCCAGAAAATTTTCAAAAATTGGCAATTTTGAGTTTCATTTCCCCCAAAATCTCAAGAACTTTTGAATTTTACTTCTAGAAATATGGCAATCCTACTGTTGTACTTAGCTAATTGGAAACCACTGCCTTACATATTGCATGTCAGCTGACTGAATATCTTTTTTTTTTTAAGTTCAGTGTGCTGCCAGAAGTCAGCTCTACTGAGTTTGGTGGAGTTTACTCCAAAGAAACTATGCATAGAATTGCAGTCCTAATGGTCCTGATAAATTGGATATTATGCTATTTATTGGTGCTCGTGTTCTCTATCTACCTCTATCCATTCAGCAGCCTGCATTTTGGGACTTTCCCTGAGGGACATGCCTATAGACCATAGCTATCAACTTTCAGATTTGAAAATAAGGGATCAGTAGCCTCAAAAATAAGGGATCAGCAGCCTCACCTGTCCCAGGGACAGTCTACAGGATATCTAATAATCCGAGATAGCAATGGGAAGCAGCGGGAAACGGCGCTGGAATAAGGGAATTTCCTGCAAAAAAAGGGAAGGTTAACAGCTATGATGTAGACATTTATTGGGACTGTGGCTGCAGCTGGAGCCATTATGAAAATTTACTACTATACCACAGAGTGCAGAGGAATTTGTGAAGAGTGCTTCTGAGCATGTACAGGTTACATATAGCTCATTACTAAGTAGCTGCAACCATCTTCCCCCTCCAGGCAGAAACATGGCATTTGCCTTTTTCAGAGACAGACCACGGTGTAGAACTTTTGGGGCCTCTTCTCATATATGTACAGTATATAGGATAACCAAGAATAATTGGAGTGACTAACTGGGGATTAGATTAATTTTTGTGGAGTTGATGGACTTTTCTTTCCATTTTCATTTTCTTGAGTCATCAGCAAGTATGGCCAGGGCCCACGCTTCTAAAATGACTCAGGGCTTTGTTTACCGCTGTACCACTCATCTCTTTAGGTAACAGGCTACGTAGAAACGTAAAGAAATTCATGAAGGGTGTTTCCGAGAATATATGGGTTACACTTTGTTCATGACTAAGCTGCTATCATCTTCCCCCTCTGGGCACCTAGGTCAGAATGTGCGCTTTCCACACACTTTTGAACACTGGCACTTGCCTTTTTAGAAACAGACCCAAAGTGTAAGACTTTCATTTTTTTTTTTTTTAATGTAATATTTATTGGTTTTACAAAAATTCCAAAACATACAAAAATACAGGATTTTAAAGACAAAAAACAACAATAACAGTGACAAAAGGAAAACAAAAAATAACAGTAACCATAAAAGAGAAAAACAAAAGAGAAAAAGAAAAAGAAACAGAAAAATTTAAAAATTTATACTTTCATTTAACCTTCTTATCTTTCCTTGGTTTTTTGACTTCCCCGCACCTCCCCACTTGTATTTCCTTTTAAAAACTCCTTTCAGCACATCCTTACCCTCCTTCCTTTATCTTAACTCAAGAAACTTAATCTATTTATATATAGATATTTTTACAACCTTATCAATCAAATATTCCATGCTCTTAAACGCGAGGTTTTTGCCAATACCAATTATTTTCAATCAGACCTCAATTTAACATTCATTAATTTTATAGTATTTCTGTAAATAGTCTTTAAATTTCTTCCAATCTTCCCAAAGTGTAAGACTTTCAAGGCTTCTTTATCCATCTGCAAGATAACCAGCAATAATTGGGGTGACATACTGTGGATTTGATTCATATAGTTTTTTTTGGAACTGACAGATCTTTCATTGCACTGTCTGCAAATATGATCGGAGTCCCACGCTGCAAGAGTGACTCAGACTTTTGCTTCAGTGAAATTAATGTCACTGGTTTTAATTGAAATTATTGATCCATTAGGATGTTTACACCATTTACTTCCTGGTGCCTAAACTGCAGAGGATTAAATAATTGGACTCCTCATTTGTTTGATGTCAACGAAGAAAACGTTGGTTCCAGTGAACTTACTGATTTAGTTTGGAGCGTGGCGAGGGAAGGAACCCTTTTCCATCTGAGAGCTGCATTCCTTCCAGGGCTGCATGCTGGCAGGGGAAAAGTCCAGAAGCAAAAGTGGGAAGATGAGACTCTTAACCTTGATACAGTAGGCTACATTCCAGCTGTGCAAAAGTCAGATATACAGACACATGCACACACCTCTCTCCTCCATCAAGGCAAGCAAAGGGTATTTTTTGCTCAAAGAATAGCACTGGATGGGGTCATGGAGCAGGGCCAGTGAGGGGTGTGGCCTGGAGAAAGTGGGTGTGGCCCAGTGTGGGGGAGGGGCATAGCCTAAGGAGAGCCCTGAGCATCAGACGGAGATTCCTGGACAATTGCATTTGGTCCCCAAGACGTCGGTTCCCTATCCCTGGTTAAGAGTATGCTTTCCAATTTCTTCTTTTCTTCAAGTATATGTATGTATACGATAAACTCAATTTAATAATATTGAATGGCGTAGCTTATTATAGCAGCAAGGGGGTTCTGATCACGGGGCACATCTGTTAAGGCCTTGGTCTTAGCTTCTAATTTTCTGGCTTTGTGGAGCTCGAGTGAACATCAGACAGCTCTAACTCTGAACTTAAACCAGCAGAGGGTTGTTGGTTTTTTTAAAATCATTAAATAGCATGATTGGCCCATTAAATGAGCAAGGCTTTTTTTTTTAAGCAAACAAGCCTGATAAAAGATTCATCACATCCTTCTGACCACCTCGACTCTTCTCCCCACAACCAAACAACCTTCAAAACACTCCTAGTATTCCTGAGCCTGCTACTGCAAGTCTTGATTGATTACCAAGAGGTCAGAAATCGAGAGATGTGTGTGCACAACTGGACCAGTCCCTAAGCAAAAAGTACCATGAAGGTATCACCCTGTGGCAATAAGCAGAAGGCATGTTCCATCTGTTTTGTACGTCATTCTCTTATGGCTCATTTCATCACCATCACCATCGTTATTAAAAGTGGAGGAAAGAAGGCAGCATACCACAGAAGATGGAGGTGAGCAAAGTGTTAATGAGTGCATTGTACAAGCTACGTCAACATTAGCAACAGACGACAGCTCTTCCCCCTCCTCTGCGTCTTCCTAATTAAATGCAGTAAGTAGGATAGAGAGAACCTTAAAATGCCACAGCCTTCTTCCTAATTGCTAAGTCCTCATAGTCCCCCAAGTTCCAAAGTCTGTATGGCCACGAGTTAGTCACTGGATGTGGGCAGGCAGCCCAAGTTATTAATGAACTGACTCATTTATTTATTTTTAAGCAATATCTGATCTGTGCTCCAGTCAGGTAGCAGGGACTGAGCTGAATCGATAGTATTTTCTATGTCTTTGTCATTATAGACTGTTACTGTACTGTGAACATTACTCATATAATTTATATCCGGAACCAGCTTCACGTTGAAGCAGAATGGATATTAGTGTGGGCACTCAAGGTGGACTTTCAGCACTAGGGACAAGTGTAGGAGGAATACCAGATTACGATTTTGGATATAGTTCTTCCTCACGGAATAAATTTGAGTGTTCTGGAGGATCAGCCCCAGTTAGACAGAAGAGGCAGTGGTTGGTTTGGTGGGAATATCTGTAATTCAGTGGTAGAGTATCTGCTTTGTCTACAGAAGGCCCCAGGTTCAAGTCCAGACATCTCCAGGTAATGCTGGAAATATCCCCTGACCAAAAGTCTGGAGAAACTGATGCCAATCCTGGGCTAGATGGACCAGTGATCTGACTCAGAAGTTTCCTGTGTTTCTCACACCGAAAATCCATTTTGGGGTTGCCACTTGGGGAGTTGCCACTCTGAGATCTTATTTATGGCCCCCAGCATGGTTGAATGCTTGGTGAGAGAGTGTGGAAGGAAAGCTGTTGGTCACCTTGTGGGGTGAGAGCCCACAACAATGGTGGTCATAAGGCTCTTCCTGGTGAGAGCTGGGGTGGGAATGTCTGCACTACCCCAGGTAGGAGATGGAGTGGCCTCCTTGGAAGGATGAGTCTCAGAACCAAACCAAATATTGAGTATGCTACTATTCTATTTATGTACCTGTTGTCTTTGTCCATGGAGTTTTCTTGGCAGGGATACTGGAGTGGCTTGCCGGTTCGTGATCCACCTGGAGTCGGACACAACTAAACAACAACAACAACTATTCTATTTAGAATCATAGAATTCTAGAGTTGGAAGGGACCTTGAGGCTCCTTCATCCTCCATAGGTTCTGAAAGCATAGTCACTGGGTCCCCTGCCTTGTCAGGCCCAGGTGCATCTGGGGGCAGGGAGGTTTCATCAAGCAGGCTCTGTGACCTCGTCTCATCCCTGTCCATTTTTGAGTCCTCATCATTAGGTGCCTCCTGCTCCTCTGCTGAATCACAGGGTTCCGAGGGATTCATATGACAGCTGGATGGGGAGACTTAATGGGCCAGAACTGTCCTGGGGGCAGCAGTTTGTCACCTCTGCTTTATGGGTGGCATCAGAGCTCCCACGTTTATGCATGGTGTGGTAAGATTCATGGCTGCTTAACACCGTATTTGCCGTATGTTCCAAATCCATGAGCAGTCAGGCACTGTCTGGACGAAGAGGAGTGGTGGGAGACACATGCCAGTGCATTGGTGGTGGGACACCAAGGAGAGGTCAGAGGGAGACGATTAGGAGGAAGTGCTGGATGCTGATGGGGCAGCAGGATTTAGTGAGCAAGAGGACCCTGTGAAAGGGAACAGTACAGACTATAAGGCTGAAGCAGAGGAGGAAGGGTCAAGAATCCAGGGAGTCTTTCTCTCTGGCTGTGACAAACTCCCTTTCCCCCTGGTTTTCAAGAACTCAGAGAGTAATGAGAAGAGCAGAACTGAGGTCAGAGGTGTGCAGTCACAGTTTGAGACTGCTTCAGGAACATCTGGGAGGGGAAGAGCCTTAGAGAGGGTGGAAGGCAGAGATCTTCAGTCCTGGCAACTGCTCCACGGGGTCAGGACTTATTGGGAAGTGTTGCTGAATCAATTAGACTGAGTTGTATGTTTGCTTCCTTGAATAAAGTGTTAAGTTCCCTGACAACAGATCTTCTTCCTTTATTGCTGACCTGCATCTGACTCCAACCCTGACATGAGCCCGCAGGAGGTGAAAAAACCCCTCACCTCATTTTGCACTTCACACATTATGGCACATCTATATTTTCCTGCAAGGAGACTCTCTCCCTTTCTCTGTCTCTCTGTATCTCATTATCTCCCTGTAGTAAAATGAAATGTGTGGTTAGTTCTGCAACTGGTGAATGTCCCTTTTTAAATAAGAACCGTGCGTTTGTAGCAGCAGGAGGGTGATAACAGTGTCATGGACAAATAACAGTTTCATGCTTAATAAATTTGAGGCATATTTTAGGATGCAGACATAGAAGCCTTACTTCTTCATACTACTCATTGGTTTAACCATTTTAATTAAAAAGACAGTTTGCATGTAAACTGTGCTGCAGAGGTGGAACGAGTCTGCTTGCCACAGCCATCTGTTTGCTCCCTTTGAAAATGGGATGCTGGACAAGGCAAGCCACCGTCATGATCCAGCAGGTCTCTTACATTCTTACGCCTTGCATCTTGTGGCAGTGGTGAGCTTCCATTTTATCAAGCATGCCACAAGTAAAGATCGTGTCATCCTTTAAAAACATAGATAAATAGTTCACTTTTTTAAAAAAAAGTATTTATGGTTTATTTGTTTGGTATGGGTGATACTCCAAGTAGACAGACTACTGAAATCAACTGGTCTACTTTCTAAATCAATAGGTCTACTTTTGAGTATGACTAAAATTGACTATCGCCCTACATAAGGCCAAAAAGGAGAGAGAAGGGCCTAGATAGAGGAAAAAACCAAGTTCTCAGAGTGCCAAAATGTTTTATTATCTCCACATCATTTCAGAATCAAGAAATTCTTTCGATAGCAGCAACATTTCTCAAGATCAACCAGGACACATAAAATTCTGTAGCACTTCTGATAAGAAGTGTCGCCCCACTGAAGGAATTTCTTAAGTCTGAAACATGTTAGGCATAGTTTGGGAACTTGTCCTCTCTGGATTTTCTTATATTTACACATGGCCATCCAATAGCTTTGTTCTCTGGATGGCACATATAAAACAATAAAATGCAAAATTAAAATACAGTATCATAAAATCACAGTTTTCAGAGCAGAAAAGCTTCTCCCTGGAAGAAATAAAAACAAACCACAGCTCAAAAGTGGTGGCTAAAACTATGGCAATTTCATACATGTTAAAAACCACAGGGTTTTCGAAAGGCTAAGAAAAATAAACAAGTCTTCACTTGGCATCGAATAGGCCACAAGAAAGGTGGGAAGGGTATGCCACAACTGAGGTACCACCACTGAGGAGGCCCTTTCCGTTGTACCAACTGGAGTGGGACCTCAAAGTTCGGGTAGCCATTCTTTTAGGTATCCTGGTCATTCGGATTTAAGAGATGAAATCAGCACTTTTGAGTAGTCATGGAAATGGACCCATTAGACTGCCAAGGAATGGCAGGCACTCACTATCTGAACTTTCCAGAAACAACTGAAGGCATTTTATTCTGAGAAGCTTCCCCAGTTGGCTGCATAGGTCTACTGCCATGTGCGTCTACTTTGTCTTGTTCTTAAAATTCATATTCTGGTGTGTGTGTTGTTGGTGCTGTTTTTATTATATTTTGTACACTGACTTGGGATGTATGTTGAAGGCGATTGATAAATAATATTAACCACAACAATAGAATGCATACAAAGCTACACTGGAAGCCACCAGCTCTGGACAGCTCAACTTGGACAGCTCATCTGGGATAGCTCACCCTGCTTCCAAAGGCTGGAACCCACCAAATATTGAGAAATAAAAAGAGAGGGGAATAACACAGAATCTTCATAATAGAATCTCTTTTCACCTTCATATGCTAAAATTACCTTACTGCAATTACTCTCCTGGAGGTTCATAATGTTCAATGATATTGACAATATTTAGGGATGCCTTGCCAATAATTAGGGATGCTGTCAAATTCCACCACCATTGGCCTAGAGACTGGAAGCCCAGATATCAACTGGAGTGGGAACATTCCTGGAAAGGGTCAGGACTTGCCAGACTGCAGATGCAAGGAATCAGTTATTTATACCAATAATCTGGCTGGGGAGTGTGGCAGCTTTAAACTAAGGAAGCCCCTTCAGTGAACCTTGGAGGACACGAAGAGAATGTTCTCTTTAAAACAAAAATGGGGAACTTGCAGCTCTCCAGATTTGGCTGGACGACTACTCCCATAATCTTTGCTGGGAGTTGATGGGAGGTTGCCTGGCACTGTAGCAGTCATACCTCACCCCTTCCCCCAAAAGGTATTAGAAGGGGCTAGGTAATGTTCAGCATCTTCAACTGGAGTAGCTTCTTGATGGTGCCACCGTACAGCAGTTCTTGAACCTCAAAACTTACCATGGAAGCTTTCATCAGCCTGCTGCCCTCCAGATACTTTGGGGACCAATTCCCATCAGTTCTAGCCATTGTAGTCCAAAACATTTGGAGGGTTCAAAATTTGAAATGACTGGCTTTTCATTGTTGTTGTTGTTTAGTCGTTTAGTCGTGTCTGACTCTTCGTGACCCCATGGACCAGAGCACGCCAGGCACTTCTGTCTTCCACTTTCACCCGCAGTTTGGTCAAACTCATGCTGGTAGCTTCGAGATCACTATCCAACCATCTCGTCCTCTGTCATCCCCTTCTCCTTGTGCCCTCCATCTTTCCCAACATCAGGGTCTTTTCCAGGGAGTCTTCTCTTCTCATGAGGTGGCCAAAATATTGGAGCCTCAGCTTCAGGATCTGTCCTTCCAGCGAGCACTCAGGGCTGATTTCCTTCAGAATGGATAGGTTTGATCTTCTTGCAGTCCATGGGACTCTCAAGAGTCTCCTCCAGCACCATAATTCAAAAGCATCAATTCTTTGGCGATCAGCCTTCTTCATGGTCCAGCTCTCACTTCCATACATCACTACTGGGAAAACCATGGCTTTAACTATACTATATGACTTTAACTATACTATAGGTTCCAGCTTATTCCGTCAGAAACCTGATATCAGCTCTGACCTTTTCCAAGCATGCAGGTCGAGTTTAGCATAAAATTCCAGCTGGAAAGCTCTTGACATCTTACTATGTTTCAGAACTTTTGTGAAACAAAATTCCCTGCATGGAGAAATTTTGTTGTGATCCCCCTCCTTTAAGGTAAGTACAACGTTAGTGAAGCAGAAGGCATGGTGAGAAATGTCTCCGTTAATGAGCTGCCACCCTATCTCTAGGTCGTCTATTTTTACAGGTTTATCTCAAGTATAGAAAAGTCAAATTTTGGGCACAGAGCCAGGTGTGTAGAATATGATCTTGCACTGCAGGGTATTGCATTCACTTAAAGAAAGAAAAAAAGATAGAATAAAAAAAAACCAAATTCTTCAGAATACCTGATCTGTCAGTTCTCATAGGTGTTTCCTGGCAGCTTGTACAACCACGGCAGGCACATTCAGCTTTTGTTGTGGAAACAGCAGAATAAATAAAGTGAAATGTCTGTTTTCCAGAAAGTCTTCCATATGCCTCGATGAAGCAGAGCTTGGCCTGATTTGTCCTATGCAGGACAGTAGTGACATTAATTGTTGTTGTCAGCATCTGTCTGTCTCTGGAGACAATGAAGGAGTAAACTTTTGGGAGTGAAGTCAAACTGTTGGAAGGCCTCAGTGCCTGCTGTAGCTGTAGAAACTGATACTGGAGAGACATGTTTTGTTGCAGCTGGGGCAGGTGAAGGCATCTGGCTGAGCTGCTGCAGATGCACCCCGGCGTTTCTTCTCTCTGCACTCCTCCTCCTCTGGTCACTGCTATGGGTACATGACCTGTCTGTCTCCAGGCACTGCGGTCATCTGCAAGGGATTCCCACACAGCTGGGTTGATGTTGCCAGGCTTTGCAGATGTCTTTGTAATAGAGAGTTGGTCTGCCAACTAGCCTGGTCCTGGAAGCCAGCTCCCCATCTTCCATTCTGTGGACATGAGCAAGCTGATTTGTCCTATACACGACTGTAGCGACAATAATAACATTAGATGACTATTATTATTATTATTATTTTGTAAAATAGTGTTTATTGTATTGAAATATTATACTTTTCTTTATTCCTTTACTGTCTACTTTTCTTCACATTTTTTCTTTTTCTTCTTTACTTTTTCTTTCTTTCTGTTTTATTGGATATTATTCTTTATGTATAGTTTTGTTTTGATGTGTTTACTTTGCAATATAATAAAGAAGTTTTTTTAAAAAACAACAACACCCAAATTAGCTTATCAATACCATTGCAGTGCAGTAGCTGCAAGGTGGACAACTGTTCCTTAGCCCTGGACCTTTGTGAGTCTTTTCACACCAATGTCATTCTGGGGATAACTGAGATAAGAACTGCTCTTTGTATTCCAAAAAGCAATATGGAAATAACACCTCAAATTCTTAACCATACATTTCATTTGAAACCAATGCACCTGTTTTGTATATGGCAGCACAATCAGCTATTGGTTATACCAATGCCCAACCCTTCCTCCAAGGAACCCTGAATGACTTAGATGTGCCCCCCAAGCAGTCACTGGCACAGATGCTGGTCAAGGTCAGGGCTGACAGAGGCTTCAGAGATGGTGCTACGCCAGGCACCTTCAAATTGAGAGAGCTCATTGGTCGGACACATTGGTTTGCAAATATCTCTAGGTGGTGTTAGGAAAGACTGCTTCCTGAAATGTTGGAGAGCTGTTTCGGTCACTGTAGACAATATTGAGAGAGGTGGAATAGGGACCTGGGCCAAGGAATGGTCAACTGATGGCCTGTATACCAGAGTTCATCAACAGTGGAGTTTTATCTGCCCAGGTGGTCCTGTTAGTGGTGAGCCAAGATGGATGTTGTATTTCATCAGCATCACCCCCCACCCTGCAAAACAGCCCTCCTAAACCTTTTGATACTTCTATGTATGCTTTAGTGTAGGGGTATCTTTTGGCATGTTCCACAGCCCCACTCCCTCTTCCTCTTCCTAGGCTACCCTTGCAGGGGAGCAGGTGGCACTGCGGTCTAAACCCCGGGGCCTCTTGGGCTTGTCGATCGGAAGGTCGGTGGTTTGAATCCGCATGGTGGGGTGAGCTCCTGTTGCTCTGTCCCAGCCTCTGCCAACATAACAGTTCAAAAGCACACTAGTGCAAGTAGATAAATAGGTACCACTGTGGCAGGAAGATAAATGGTGTTTCCATGTGCTCTGGCTTCCATCATGGTGTTCCGTGCACCAGAAGCGGTTTAGTCATGCTGGCCACATGACCTGGAAAGCTGTCTGCGGACAAACGCTGGCTCCCAGGGCCTGAAAAGCAAAATGAGTGTCGCACCCCATAGTCGCCTTTGACTGGACTTAACCATCCAGGGGTCCTTTACCTCTACCTTTTACCCCTTGCAGCAGCCTTCCCCTATGCATTTTTTTAAGTGTCCTGAACTGTGAAAATCCCTCTTGTGCGCTGTTCTGCATAGGCCTGTGACTTCTGTCTAGCTGGAATGTATAACCGACTATAAAAAAGGTAAGAATCATACCCATTGCCCTGGTTTGCTGCTTGAACAGCAACTCTAAGAAAGTGGTTGTCACAGAGCAACTTAACAGCATTTGACTGACTGATGGATCAATTGCATGAAGGCACTGGCCATTTCCAAAAACAATGAGGCAAAATGTTTTAAAGACTAAGAGCAGAAATTTGAACCCTGTGCAGACCATGACCGCAACCCAGTGCAAGGCCTGCTGCCAGATTCTGCAATTACATGTTAACAAACTCTTTGTATTTGCTTATTTTGTCCCTCTCCCAGAACACTGATCTCTATCATTGTTTTAGCTTTCGTGGTTGTTGGCAGTTTGTCTAAGCAGATGTTGAGCTGAAGAAATTCCAAGTGCCTGAATGACAGACAGAGAGAGGCAGAAAGGCAGGCAGGCAACCCAACCCCATCTCCTCCTGGTGTTCCTTCAGATATTTGATCCTCCTCATTTAAGAACAAATTGCTTCTGTTCAACTCTTTGGCTGTGAAAAGTATCCAGCTGTAATAGCTGCCATGTGTCGGGATCAATACAAAAGTGTGAAGCCAGTGCTTTTCCTCCTCTTTAACCAGAGAGAGAGGGAGGCAAATGAATCATTTTGAAGAATCAGCACTTAGGGATACATTAAACCTCTTTGTCTTTGTCTGTGTTCATTTCCCCGTAATCCTTATGCAAAAGAAAATGAAATCCTGACAATGTGTTTTATTGATCTCTCTGGGTATTGCTATTGCTGTGAGTTTGCTTCCTGAATTAAAGTTTGTTGTGTGCTGCAGTTAGTGTGGGCTTGATCCGGAAGATGTTGCTTGTGACATGCAGCAGTCAGATCAGAGGTAAGCCCTTGTAAGTTCAATGGGACTTCCTGCCTCGGAGGTGGGGAACCTTTTTCAGGCTGAGGACCACATTCCCTGGTGGAAAACTTTATGGGGGCCACATACTCATGGTGTTTGGGACCAGTGTAAGAGCCAGTCTAAGAATTGATGGATGAACATGAAACCCCATACACATCCATTTGTGTACCCTCTGATGCAAAAACATAATTTGGGCTGGCTACCTCAGCATGTAGCAGTTCCGAGCATGGCCAAGATTATGCATGGGAAATTGTGAGGGGTGGTTGGAGAATTGCTAGGAGACACCTCCCCCCCAATTCCCCTCACAAAACTATAGTTCCCAGAATGGTTTAACAACCAATCCCTCTTCCCAGAGGATGGACGGAATTGTAGCTATGTGAGAGGAACAGTACTCAGCACTCTTAACAAACCACAGTTCCCAGGTTTACTTAGGGAAAGGCATGGCTGTTTAAAGTGGGATGATACTGCTTTAAGCGTAAAATGCAGACGGGGCTTAAGTTAGCAAAAACTGGAAATGTTAAGGCTCTGGAATGAGGTTTTAAGTTGATATTTTGGTTCAGGGATAGTGTTTCAACATGAACTGTCAAGGAGAAGCTTTATGCAGATGTGGTTTTTCAAGCCACTTCATTTCCCCCACGCTCCGCTGAGCAGAAATGCACAGTGTGTTTTATATATTGGATGACAATCTGAATAATTGTTATGAATGGATTTGACAACAGCCAGAGAAACAATGAATTAATGCGCACGTACTAGGCAAGTCTATTATTCAGAGAGCAAAATGCTCTCAAAGGATGTTGTCATTAGACATTTGTGAACCTGATTTCACTTGCTCAATGCTGGAATTTTTAATGAGAAAATTATTATTATTATTATTATTATTATTATTACCCTAGCCACTCCATGTTATCTATAGTGATCTAAAATATATAGCCACTATACGTTGTCTATAGTTATGTCTGAACAGGACCTGAATCACTTATGACCCACCAGCCTGAACATAGCTCACAATGTATGGTGGTGTAGCAGGGGCTCTATAGATGTCCCAATTTTGCTGTTGGCCTGGAAAAGCAAAAGCAGGGAGAATCGTATCAGCATCTAGGAGGAGAAAATACATACTTCTTGTCTCAGTTTGGCTTGGTGAGTCACAGTTTCTGCAGGACTTACGAAGTACCACCCACTCAGTAACCGAAGAACTGGAAACTGGAAACTATGGACTTAGCTAGATTAGTAAAGAAAAAGTGATCTGTGTTGTATATGCACTGTAACATCATGCCACCAGGTGGCGCTGTGGAGTCCAGTTTTTCTCTACCTGTTTCCCCTGTTTAAATGTGCAAGATGTTTAACTGAAACACTTCTTTGATGTGTCTAGATCCAGCCTATATATGCCAGGATCAGAAACCATGGTTTAATCTCTGCTTTTTCAGCAAACCATCACCAAGGCTGGGGAACAATTTCCAGCTTGAGAGCCACATTCCCCTGTGAGCAGTTTTCTGGGGGGCTGTGACTCTTAACATGACTCTTCCCCTTATGTATCACTGGGGTACACGATAAGACAAAAGGTTTGTTTCTACACACCATCCATGCGTTTCTTCATCTGGGCAAGCAGGATGGAGACTTCCAGGATACATTCCAGCCATGCAGAGACCGTGGAGTAGGGCTGGTGAGAGTTGTGGTCTAGAGAGGCCTCAAGGATTGCATTTCTTCTTCAGATCTGATGTTCCTCACTCCCAGTTTAAAGCTTATCCTTGTCAGACGTAATGACAAAGTGCCATTGTTGTTGTTGTTTAGTCGTTTAGTCGTGTCCGACTGTTCGTGACCCCATGGACCAGAGCACACCAGGCACTCCTGTCTTCCGCTGCCTCCCACAGTTTGGTGAAACTCACGTTAGTAGCTTTGCGAACACTGTCCAACCATCTTGTCCTCTGTCGTCCCCTTCTCCTTGTGCCCTTCATCTTTCCCAACATCAGGGTCTTTTCCAGGGAGTCTTCTCTTCTCATGAGGTGGCCAAAGTATTGGAGCCTCAGCTTCAGGATCTGTCCTTCCAGTGAGCACTCAGGGCTGATTTCCTTCAGAATGGATAGGTTTGATCTTCTTGCAGTCCATGGGACTCTCAAGAGTCTCCTCCAGCACCATAATTCAAAAGCATCAATTCTTCAGCGATCAGCCTTCTTTATGGTCCAGCTCTCACTTCCATACATCACTACTGGGAAAACCATAGCTTTAACTATACGGGCCTTTGTTGGCAAGGTGATGTCTCTGCTTTTTAAGATGCTGTCTAGGTTTGTCATTGCTTTTCTCCCAAGAAGCAGGAGTCTTTTAATTTTGTGACTGCAGTCACCATCTGCAGTGATCATGGAGCCCAAGAAAGTGCCGTTAGTCATAAGTAGATGCTTATGCTATCCTTCACAGGGCTGCACTTGAGGCAAAGAAGGCCTATCCTGTTTCTCCACCTGAGGGGAAACTGGAATTGTCACCTCCTGCCTCCCACTTCCACCCCGACTTCCACCGCTGGCAAGAGCTGCAGCTTTCTGCAAAGCATTGCTGCTTGGCTTCTCCATTTGGTGGTGTGATGTGGAAGCCATGTGGTGCGCAGGAACGCCCTGGTTCTCAGCAAACTCTGTGGGAGCTGGGGCGTTCCATAAAGCCTCCTCCACTTAGAGCCTCTGAATTATCAAATTCTGCCTAAAATTGGGAAGCTGAGCTAGAATTCCTCCCAAGCCAACGTCTGTGCTTAGCCCGAGAGAAGATGAGCTAGAGAACTCCTTGCCGCAAGAAAAGGTGTATGGCACAGAATTTAGAAAATTCACCCAAAGATGGGTGAGATATTAGTAGAAAATGATGTCTGTAGCTGCTGACTCATTATGCCAAACTCTGCCTCTGTCTGCCACCATTTTGTGGCAGGCTGTGCCCCCTGCACCACCATTTTGTGTCTGGTGGGCCTCAGCAATTTTCAGCTACCTCAAGTGGGCTCTGGGGGTGGACAGTTTGAGAGCCCTTGCTGTACGGGAACAGAATCAAAACCTCTCAAAGAATAAGTGTGTGGTGTCTTCTAACCTTTCGATAAATGCCACACAAATTGACGCCATTGTTAGCATAAGCAGTAGTATACCGCCAAAGGTTTCAGATGCTGAGAAACCGGCCCTAGAGTCATGACTTGTAGATTTACAGAAGGGAGAAATTTACAGAAATTCACTTTGACTAGAAGCAAATCCCTTCTCAGCAGTATCGTTATTACACTCGACAAATAAGCATGTTTACCTTCTGGCTGCTAGCATTACAGATTCAAACAATCCTGCTTAACCTTTGCAAATAATCCTAGGGTTATTTTAATAAGGCACAAACTGTTCACCCACCAGCTGGATTCCCTAAATCTTTAGCTGTGCTTTTATTTGCCAAGCTGTTGAACGCAATGCCACCTGGATGCTGCAGCAGTTGCTGGAGTACCTCTGCACTCGCTGGAAACGGAGTTTGGTTTCCTAATCCTGTGTAGTTATTTTACCATCAAACGTTGCCATTCTTCTCTTGTGATGATGTATATCTTTGGTACCTAGATCTGTCATCCTGAATGTGGAACTCAAGCAAGTGGGGATAAAATATCGCATCAGTTTGGATGGTTTTGTTCACAAAAATGAATGCCCTTTTTGTATCTCAGGCAATCCTTTTCAGAGCTCTCCAAAACTGGCTCGGATCCAAAGAGCCATGCAATTAGCAGTGCATGCCCCCCAAAGGGGTTCGGGTTGCATTTCTCTGAAAGCAGATCCCTTGTCACCTGGCAAACCTGCATTTGAAATGCAGGAGGGATTCAGAAGCATTTTGGGATATGGCATGTTGTTCAAAGGGATAACAAAATATGTTTAAAAAAGCCTCATCAAGTCGCTCTTGCAATCCTGACTGCGGTTCGTATAATGTGTGCTTTGAGAAACACAGAGAAAATATTGTAGTACAAATGTGGATGTGATAATAATAATAATAATAATAATAATAATAATAATAATAATTATTATTATTATTATTATTATTTATTTATACCCCACCCATCTGGCTGAATTTCCCCAGCCACTCTGGGCAGCTCCCAATCAAGTGTTAAAAACAGTACAGCTTTAAATATTAAAAACTTCCCTGAACAGGGCTGCCTTCAGATGTCTTTTAAAGATAGGATAGCTGCTTATTTCCTTCACATCTGAACGGAGGGTGTTCCACAGGGTGGGTGCCACTACCGAGAAGGCCCTCTGTCTGGTTCCCTGTAACCTCACTTCTCACAATGAGGGAACTGCCAGAAGGCCACCGGCGCTGGATCTCAGTGTCTGGGCTGAACGATGGGGGTGGAGACGCTCCTTCAGGTATACAGGACCGAGGCCGTTTAGGGCTTTAAAGGTCAGCACCAACACTTTGAATTGTGCTCGGAAACATACTGGGAGCCAATGCAGATCTCTCAGGACCAGTGTTATGTGGTCCCAGTGGCCACTCCCAGTCACCAGTCTAGCTGCTGCATTCTGGATGAATTGCAGTTTCCGGGTCACCTTCAAAGGTAGTCCCACGTAGAGCGCTAGTAAATACTTAGTAAATACTAATAGTAATTACTTTCCAAGCTGTAGTAGAGGATGGTCGACATAATGGGGTTCATGTGTGGTAGAACGAAGTGTGTTGTGAGTTGTATTGTTTTCTTTATAGAAGCTCTAATAAAGGGTTTGGGAAGCTGCCAGCCCACAGATGTTAGACTCCAATTTCTGTCAGCCCCAACCAATGCATTCAGCAGTCGAGGATGATGGTATTTGTCACCCAACAACATCTGGAGGGTCTCCATCCTGTTCTTTTGAATGCACATGTGGAAGGTCTGCTGCCATGATGTCCCCACCCCCAATGGATTTTTAAAAATAATCTATTATGTAGGTCTGTAAGGATCAAAGTGGATGTGACACACAGAGGACTTCCATGACTCGAATAACTGTTTTTTTCCCCCTTACAAAATCCAGCCCTCCATTTTAGATGGTAATATGCTCACCCACTTTGAAATATGGTAAGCTAGCCCTCGAGGCCAGCCCAATCGTTTTGCAGCCTGAGGCAAAGGACAAGATGGCGCCCTCTCCACATTCTAAGTATAGGAACTGCAAAACTATAAGGAGGCAATAGACGCCTGCCTGAAATCTTGCAGAGCTGCTATCAGTCACTGTGGACAATGCTAATTTAGATAGTATAAGGTAACTCTGTGTGTCTTGGTGGATAAATGTCCCATACAGTGGTACCTCGGGTTACAAACACCTTGGGTTACAAACACTTCAGGTTACAGACTCAGCTAACCCAGAAATAGTACCTCAGGTTAAGAACTTTACCTCAGGATGAGAACAGAAATCGCATGCTGGCGGCCTGGCAGCAGCGGGAGGGTCCCATTAGCTAAAGTTGTACCTCAGGTTAAGAACGGTTTCAGGTTAAGAATGGACCTCCGGAGCGAATTAAGTTCTTAACCTGAGGTACCACTGTATATTTCATATGTCCACTTTGCATATTCTGTCTTTTCCCCATTTTACTGGTGCCTCCAGTCCTATCAAATGAAACTATCAGAAAAAAACCTTTAACTGGCTTCTGAAACCATTGCATTCTGAAATTACTCCCAAACCATCCTGAGCTCTCTGAATTCGCTGTCAAAGCCATTTAATTCCAGTGCATCACCCCATTGTATCCTTTTGCCTGGTATTCCCACCCCCCAGTCTTTCCCCAAGTATATAATATACTGTAAACTGTCGTGCAGACAAAGCCCCCAGTTCCTTCTCAAGGATACGTAATGAGAAAGGAAGATGTACTGCCAGCTTTAATTATACAATCATTAGGTTTGTACAGCATCTCAATACCAACAAAGCCAACTCCTTAGGCGGTCCTGTTCTCCTGGGACCCTACATTGCTTTGTATTAGCATATCTACCACTTGTGTTTTCCCAGTTGGCTCTAGAAAAGCTAATGCTCACAGAGCTATTCAGTAATCATTTTCATATTAGGCTATTACGTTGTTTACTTAGTATATTGCCCCCTTTGGAAAATATAGAGAATTCTACACTTGATCTCAAATCTGCTTCGTTTCAGCAAAATATAGTTTCCCTCTTTCAGCAACATGCTTATTTGACTTGACTTCCTTGCACATGTAGGTGCATGGACACTAAAGCACCCTCTGGTGTACAACCTGCCACTCCATTTCACTTGTGGTAGCTGGTGAGGTTCATTTTGAAGTGTTAAGTATGGTAACATATACTGCTGGACAACTATGCTTTGTTATTTCATTCTGGCACAACCTCCTGTTTTGGTTTCCAATTACGCAGCTAAGTTTTGTTCCTTCTTGGTTGCCGAAACACAGTGCCTCTCTTCCCTTTTATCCCCCACATAACCATCTGCCCATATAGTAAGTGGTGCTGTTTAAGTTGCAGCTATCTTATAATAAGTACAGCAAATCAGCCTTGTGTCTAAACATTGTACAAACCATCCTCAGGTTTTTAACAAAGAGAATTGTTATGATCGGTTTCCCAACATGTTGGCTTCTGAAGCGGGTGCAGAACAAGCTGTTGCAGAAGAAACAAAGACAGCAAGGAAAGGGCCTCCAGGATTGCTTAGCAGAATATATTACAGGCATCAAAGAATTTTCCCTGTTTGCATCTGTGAGTTGGTGTGGATATTGTCATTATACAGCCTAGGGACTAGGTGGCACGGGACTTAATTGTATCTGGGAGGAGTCAGAAATTTCCTGGGTCTATTCTGCTCTTGTTTAAGGGAGACAATAAAGTTCTTGCCTAGCTTCCTGACTGGTGTGTCCTCTAAGCCTTCCATGGCAATCGCCTACTAGCACTGGCGGAGGAAGGGGGCAGGGGGAGCATACCGCCCCCAGACCACATTCCCGGTGGGCTGCCATTGCGGCTGCCCCCCGGACTGGGCGCCATGCCCCCGGGACGTGCGCCATGCCCCTGCGGGCAGTGTGCCACACCCCTGGGACACACACCAGCTATGCCCCTGGTGCTGGAGCATGAAGCTCCACCACTGCCTACTAGGGAGGTTCACATAGCCTTTCCCCTGCAGGTCGAAAGGGCATGTGGGGGATGCTGTGGAGGGTATCCCCAACATCAATAGTGCCCCCCTACTGTGAGAGGGCACAATGCTCCTGTCCTGCCCCAACCATAGACACCCATAGCAGAAATTACTCCCCTCTGATGTCTGTTCAGCCAGCATGGGAAAGGGCTGTGCCTGTGTACTACACCTAGTGTGGAGACATAAGAGGAAGATCCTGACTGGCTGACATCCCCTAATTGAATTTATTTATTTATTTAATATTTGCTACTAAATATGACTACCATAAGGTTTTCAAAAATAACCAATCTGTTATGTAACATGTATTCCATACAGCAAATGAACGGACAAGCTACAGTGCAATTGACAGCACATTTTGAAAGCAGCTTAAGAGTCAGGGATCCCTCCTCTTACTCACAGCATGCAACGTTCACTTCACTCACAGAGAGATGCACACCACAACCAGATCCTTATGTGGACACAAGTTGTACAATGAGCACTAGCCATCCCATTTTACCCCCACACCTTAGAAACATCCATAAGCACACCACCCACCCAATCGCTCCAGTATCTTCCAGTCACTATCACTAGTGTCGCCAACCACTATCACCAATCTCTCTGCCCACTCTACTAAAAATGTACTACAGAAACACCAGGAGACAATAGAACCATTCACTGATAGACACATATAAAATATCAGGAAAAAAATCCATCCACCAACCACGTGTTCTAGATGCAGTCATTACAACGACCCTGTAAGGTGGGTCAGTATGAGACTGAGGCTGAGAGACACCACCTTGCCTGACACACCACCTAGCACAGGGGTGGACAGCATGGTGCCCCTGCCAGCTGTTTTGGACTACAAGTCCCATCATTCATGATCATTGGCAGTGCTGGTTGAGTGATGCGAGTTGTATTCCACAACATCAGCAGACCACTGCATTGGTTGCCCCTCCACCTAGTATGTTCATGGTGAGAGGAGATTTGAAACAGTACCTCCTAGCTCCCTGTACCAGCTTTTAGATGAAGTCCTTTCCTTCTTCCTCTTCCTCTTCTAACAACTACCAATGGATTTTACATCTTTCAGCCATTTACCACCACTACTGTAATGGGTGTATATGAAGTTGTTATTCTGCATCAAAGGCAATTTGAATCTCTCTTGAATTATGCAATTACCAGCGTAATACAGGGATACTCTTTAAAAATTATCTTGCCATTCCTCTGTGCTCACTGCCAGCAAATATGCTATCGTGGGATTGGGGATTGGATTGCTACTTATGCACCACCACCACCACCAATGAAAAAAGGATGAAAGTGAACACCCTGGAGAGTTGCTACCAGTCAGTATGGACATTGTTGAGCTAGATAGACAAATAGTGTGACTCATAAGGCAGCTTCCTATGTTCCTAACAGAAATAGGAACACTATATATTTTAAGATAGTAGAGAAGACTGCGACGAAGTGATCTGTGGGCCTTCTCAGTCTTCCGCCCAGGTGTGAAGAGTAGACAGGCAAATTCAAAGCCCTTCCTGCTCTCCCTTAAGAGGACTGTCCCCTGACCAGCCTTCAAACAGAAGCCTGCCATAAGCCTGTAAAGTAAGACACATGTCCGGCCTAGTTGATGGAGATCTCTACAACACCCAAGCCCACTGGAGTCTATTCCTGGGGAAGAGTGTAAAGGAGGTTAGGGGCTGAATCTGGGGAACTGCATTGCGGACCGCACAACAGCTGTGGAGGTCATTGGCCATGTCTTTCCAGCAGCTGACCCAGGACGGGAGAGCTTATGAGGGGAGGAAGAGGATGTCCACTTGGATAATGGTGGGTGTCACTCTATATAGGCAGATCTCCTTGAAGGTGATTGCATTGTGCAAATAAGCAACTTGGAGATATTTTGGGATTATAAAGCAGAATATAAATAAGATAAGTAAGCAGTGCTTTTTGTGTGATTTTGTAGTCATGGATACCACTTTTCTTTGCTGCCCATCGTGGCCATTTTGTTCTGGCGCCCATGACACTTTTATCACAATATGAGTACTGACACCTCATTTGTTACCAAAAATAGCGCACTGTAAATAAGTAAGCATTGAAGTCCATAAGTAAATAAGGGTTTTGGCAGCCAAAAGCAACAACAAATGCATGCTTGTGAGTGAGAATGTAAGTTGGTACAGGAAATGGACATCATCTGGAAAAGCAGGAGGAGGAAGAGTCTGAGAAAGAGGAATCAAAACCAACTCAAGGGATTTTGCTGAGCTGAGTACCCACCCCTTGCGTTTTTATGGGACTATTCATTCCTCCAAATAGAATATTTGAAAATAATTATTTGTCACAAGGTTTGCTTTTAAATAATAATAATAATAATAATAATAATAATAATGTATTTCAATGTTTCTAGATTTATCAGAGATGCTGGCTAGTCTTCAAGAAAGCATCAAGCAAAGGACCCAAAAGAATAGAGAAGTTTTCAGATGAGCGTGCTGCTTATTTCAGATGCTATCATAAGGTAAGAGAACGTGCATGCTTCCTCTGTGTCTCCTTCACAGGAAGGTTTTCCCATCATAGAATCATAGAATCACAGAGTTGGAAGAGACCACAAGGGCCATCGAGTCCAACCCCCTGCCAAGCAGGAAACACCATCAGAGCACTCCTGATATATGGTTGTCAAGCCTCTGCTTAAAGACCTCCAAAGAAGGAGAATCCACCACACTCCTTGGCAGCAAATTCCACTGTCGAACAGCTCTTACTGTCAGGAAGTTCTTCCTAATGTTTCCCATGTAAGTAACTCCCACAGTTAATCTAGACTTTAGCGGCAATCCTGTTAATGATTCGTTGTGATTTAGGCCCCGTTCCCAGGGCTAGCCCACCCATGAGGCTGGGTGAGGTGGTCACCTCAGGTGGCAGTTCCACCCACCTGCCCTTGCTGCCCACCCATCCACATGTCTCCCAGATGTCCCCAATGCACCACTGACACTTCACTAGTTCTTCCTCTCTGGGCCCATTCTGCATATCCACCCAAGAACATGTGGCTGACCGCAGAATGCTGGACTAGATGGGATTTTTGCCTGATCCAGCAAAGGCTCTTCTTAAGGTCTATTCTTCCTATCAGTTTATAATCAGCCTTAGAGAAGATATAAATAGTATATTTAAATTGTAACTTTAAAAATTAATATGCCCTTTCAGAGAATACCTATCAGGAGTTGTATCAATGGAAACAATATAATTCATTCATCATTTGCATAATCGTTGTTGCTAGATAGAAAAGTTTCTGAGACTCCTTGTTAAAAAAAAAATCAGTTGGGGATCGCTCTGCCTGAGAAGGTACATGTGTAATTCCCCTCAGCACCATAACAATAATAGACCCTTTAATTTTTAATCTTTGACGGCAACAGCTTAATATATTAGAAAATTGGGATTTAGGTGTGCAAACAGTCTCGGCGCCTGGGAGCGAAAAGATAAGCTTTTGGTGGCTGATCCATTCTTATTTGGCTTGAGAGGTGTTTAAGGAATAAATCTCATGAGAATGCCACATTTGAATCTTCTTAAACTATTTGCTCCGATCTACATCTCTCGGATGCATAATTTATACAGGACTGGCCTGGGGGACAATTGGCCCTACGTGTGTCTAGAAATAGAAGTTCAGGGGAAATTTATCTGAGGTCATTTTCAAAAGTCACGAGAAGAGACTCAAAATCCCTTCCTCTGCTTCATCTCAACTCCTATTGGGATTGTGCAGAATGTATATTTAGAGCACTTTAATTTCGGCTCAGCACAGAAGGTGTGTCATCTGTAATGATACTGAGCCGACAAATTATTGATGCAAATCTTATGTCTCTTTTACTCTCTCCCCTTCTTCACATGGTAATGTGAAGTATAAGTGGTACATCCACCTCTGAATGATGTGGGAATTAGGGCTGAAATGGAAGATCATGGTCTCTTAAACATTCGCTTCTTTAAAATGGGTCTTTATTTCCTCCCCTTGCATAATCCAGAGACTAGATTCTCTGCCACTCAAGGTATGTAGCTACCCGTTAAACCCTGTTTATGTTGGTGTAATGTGAACAGTGGGTTAAATTACACAGTGCTTGGTCTCATGTCTTGAGGAACACATCCCCATGTCTGGATGTTCTGAGATAAGGGTGCCAGGTGCCCTGGGTTACCATAGCAACACCAGCAAGGCCTCCTCTCGATGTGACATTCACCCACCAGGCTGCACTGGTCCGTGTGGCGTCTCCTGGGGTGGCAGCCATGGAGAGAATTGGCTGTTTCATCCTTTTCCCCTAGCTCAGTGGCAGTAGTTCTAGAGGTGGGAAGTGGGACATTTCCAGATCCAGATGAAAGCTGGGAATGCTGGGAATTTGGAATGTACTGGTAAAAACAGGGCAATTCTGGGTATGGTGATATCTACAGACTTCCTAGAACTTCTACATTTGCAACCATAATTACAAATAAAGCCGACCCTTTGACATGTTTATTTGTTTATTGTGGTTTATTAATCAAAAGTAAACAGTAATCCAACTAATCAAACCCTAGATTACCAAACTAAAGACCGCAGCAAAAGTCAAGACACACACACACTATGGTACCACTGATCAACAAACAACAACAGCATCAAAAAGCTTATGTGAAAAAGGATTTTTGTTCAGTTGTCAGCAGAACACAAATACAGAAGAAGATGCCCAGACTTCTCATGGAAGGAGTAATAGCACTGAAGAAGCCTTCTTGTCATGTCACAATGAACAACAGCATTCTCTTTTTTATGTATAGAGCCAGAAATTCTAAAACATACTAAACCTTTATTGGCCTCGTTGGAGTCAATAATGTGTTCTAATAAGCATCACAGGCAATGATTTAGGATCAGTTTAATTCCACAGTGCCTGGAACTGATATAATCTAGCTGTTTTTTTCCTAGTGATTTATTGCACTAGCTCATCTGACTTATGTTCCCTTGCCTTGGTGATGTATGATGCTGACATATAACTCTGATGATCTGGCTTTATAGATACATGGGCATAGATCCAGAGTTTTCTTCTGCCAGTGGCAGCATCCTGGGAGCATAGTTACATGCATGAGATGCTCCCAGTGCCTGCTGGTGGAAGGTAGCTTTAAATGTTCCCCTTGAAGTCCATTTGGAGGAGGCGCTGTAGGAGTTAGTGAAAGTTGCCTGGATTGGCAGCCCTTTCTTTCATGGTAAAGAACTCTGGATCCAAGTCGTGGTCAAGGGAAATTATATCCAGAAGGGTTTGCCTAACCAGGTGATAGGAGAAATGTTTGAAAGGAGAAGGTATGAGGGTATCTTTTTCAGCTCCCTTATTCTATCTGAGGCATGCCAGCACAGTGTTGCACAGCATCTCTGCAGGGAGGCCTAGAACAGCATGAGGATTCAAGATCGGGGAGAACTTACTGAATTTTCTGGAACAATATGCAAACTGAAACATCTTTGTAAATTGGCACCTCTCCGTCTTTTGCAGTTAAGCTCTCCAGCCAAGTAACATGTACAAAAATGCATATGTGAGTGAAAATAACATACATAAATGCATTGTATTACAGAAAATAGCTTTGCAAAAATGTGTACATTAAGGAAAATTTCTATATAACATCTAACAATATTTGGAGAATTTGGAAAATCCCTACTGGATATGTCAATGGAGAGTGTTAGGCCTCTCTGGAAATGTCCACAGCAGTTCGTAGAATCCATTCCAGATATTATAATGTACGCTGGAGTTTTGGCAGAGTAGAATGAATCCATTCTGCCCAAACTCTTCAAAGCAGATCTCAGGCAGCTTCTCATTCCCAGTTGTGGCTTTGGCTATATATCACCCTAATGTATGCATCGTCTGGCTATTATTGAGTAGAACAGAATTTATTGTGTTCACGTAGATGAATGCTTCTTGGTCTCTGCAATATCAAATCAGGACCTTTGGCGCTATGAAGATAACAATCATGGGAGATGAACAATCTTCCTTGCCTGCTTTATGAACTGATGCCAAAATGAAGTGCAAACAGTGGGAAGGACAAGTAGCAAAAAGAAAACAAATTTTACTCTTCAGGTGAATGAACTTTGAAGCCTTAAATGTGAACTGAGGCTTGCAAGATGTACGTTGAAATATATTGCTCTGCCTTTTGGATTTCTGCATAGCAGTTGCTCTTTCGGTGTCTGACCTTTAAGGATGAATTGATAACGTGAATAAATCGAGTAATGCTTCACTTTTATTACTTCCTTCCCTCCTAAACAGCATAAAGCCATCACAGGCAGCCAATAGTCCATGCCTCATCCATATACAGTTACCTTCATAAAGAGCTTGCTATGAGAAAGCGTTTCAAAATAGAGTGTGATATCTCATTTCCTTCTACTCAGAGGAGACCCAATCATATTAATGAACTTAATTACTTAAGCATGATTAAGTACTCTGAGTGTGATTAATGCTAGATATCGCCCAGAATTCAGATTAAAGCTATCTTGAAAATATTAAGCCTTTGTAACCAAATAAATGATGGCATATTTTCATTTAATTGAGAAAAATATATGGAAGAAAGCTAGATTTCAACAAGGCAAGAATAAAATCACCTTGTTAGGGTTGGGCAAAGTCTTTCCTTCCCCTTTGCATGGTGTGTGTGTGAGAGAGAGAACATTAATGTGTGTGCATGTGTGTGAGTGAGAGAATGAAATTATCAGGTGGTAAGGTGGCGGTGTGGGTTAAACCACAGAGCCTAGGGCTTACCGATCAGAAGGTCAGCGGTTCGAATCCCCGTGATGGGGTGAGCTCCTGTTGCTCAGTCCCTGCTCCTGCCAACCTAGCAGTTCGAAAGCACATCAAAGTGCAAGTAGATAAATAGGTACCGCTCCAGCGGGAAGGTAAACGGCGTTTCCGTGCGCTGCTCTGGTTTGCCAGAAGTGGCTTAGTCATGCTGGCCACATGACCCTGAAGCTGTCTGCGGACAAACGCTGGCTCCCTCAGCCTATAGAGCGATATGAACACTGCAACCCCAGAGTCATCCATGACTGGACCTAATGGTCAGGGGGTACCTTTACCTTTAAGGTAGTATTAATTACATATGGTAGAAATTTAGGCATTCAGATCAGACTTAATATTTGTTTTGTTTTTATTAATAAAGCTTTCTCATAATACAATAGGATAAAAAACTAATGTAAATAAAAGCGAAAACAGAGAGAGAAAGAGGAAAGAAAATACAGAATCCTTGTTTCACACAGAAAGAGGTGGACCCACCTGATCTCTCACCCTGGGAGGTCTTCCCTTCCCTGCCTCAGATCAGCCTTAATCTTTGCATCCCACTCTAATAACTACTCTGCTGGATTGGACCACAGGGCATCTTGTCCACCAGTCTCCTTCAAACACTGCTGAGCCAGAAGCTTCTTGGAACCCTTCCAGCAAAGCATGAAGGCAACAATGTCTGCTGTTATTTTGCCTGCAGTATGTAGTAATGAGAGATAGGTTAAGATGAGATGTCATGACTGCCCCATGAGCCTCATGACCCCACTGGGAGTTGAATGTGTGAATCAACTGAAAGGCTAGAAGCAGGAAGGAGAAATATATATAGGAATAGAGGTGAAGCGCAGATAATTATCGGTATGTCTGCCTGATGGAATGGCAGGGTACCTGATGGCTTTTTGAGAGGATTAGACATAAAATGGAAGATGGCAAGATCCCCAAGGACATGCTCTGTGGGGAGCTGGCTTCAGGCACCAGACCTGTTGGCAGACCAAATCTGTGTCATAAAGATATCTGCAAACATGACATGAAGGCCGGCAACCCGCCATGTGGGAATCCCTTGCAGATGACCGCAGTGCCTGGAGACAGACAGACAGGTCATGTATCCACAGCAGTGACCACAGGATAAATGACCACTGGCAGGAGCGCAGAGAGAAGAAATGCCATAGTGCACTGGCAAAACCTTCATCTGCCCCAGCTGCAACAAAACATGTCTTTCCTGTATCGGTCTCAGCAGCCAGAGCCGGCGCTGTAACTCACCAACGGTTTGACTCAATGGCATACTCTTCCATTGTCTCTTGAGACAGATGAATGTCAACATTGAGAATAATATATTTGCCTATCTTCGGCTGAACGGGGGGATGAAAGAAATCTGTGTGCTTGCCAAGGAAGGTTCATTACTGAGCTATTTGAAGTGCCTCAGATCACTCTCCTTCCCAGGCTGGGGGGGGGGGGAATGGAGAAAACAGGATATATACTGGAACAGTGTGATTTTTGCAGCTGCTGTTGAAGCTGTAAACCAATGAACCATGTGGCGCAGCGCTGGAGAACTTCTGTGTTGTTGTTTTTTAATGATATTTATTAAGAATTTTAAGATTACAGAAAAAACAAAGAGAAAAAGAGGAAAGAAACCAAGGAAAAAACAAACAGCAATCAAACAATACAAGTCAAAATCAAAAAGCAAAAACAAAACACATAACACATCAAAATCCAAAAACAAAAATAAACCACAAAAGTTTAAAAACAGATCCAATATTCCCAAATCCTTAACTGTCATTACCTTATTTCATCGACCTCCTCACCCCTCCCTTTTTTTGTATTCTAGTTATTGATTATCACAGCAAATCCTTCCCATTTTTCATAATATTCTGTCATTAAATTACCTTAATCTATTTTGACCTTGTCTTACTATAAAAGACCCTAAAACTTGAAACTTAAGTCTTATCTATACCAATTTCTCATAACCATAACATATTCTTGCATAGTTCTTTTTAACATTTCTGCTAAAGCCAAATAATTTCGTTCCAACATTTTCCTAATACTCATTAATTTTAGAAAACATTCCTAAATAGAATTTTTGAAACTTTCTCCAATCTTCATCCAACGTCTCTTCCTCCTGGTCTCGGGTTTTGTCAGTCCTTTCTATCCCATCCATCTAGTTCATTAACCTGGTAACCTTATGTCCGAGGCCCTTAAGTCTCTTCCATGTCCCTTCCGCAGATCTTCTTCATATTTATACCTGTACTTTACTTTGTCTTCTGCTCCTTTCACTCGTGGAGACTCCAGCTTGACAGTATTTTTGTCCCTTCTCGACAGATCAGCCCCTTTTCCATAGTCCACACTAAACTCCATGTGGTATTTAAAAGCATATTTCAAGGTCCCTCCAGAATTGAGGACCCCCACAACTCCAAACTCCTCCCGGCCCAACGCCAGACTTGAAAAGTCAAAACATCCCTGCATAGGGGGGTCTATCCAGCCCCCCATCTCCAAACCAAACAAGACTCTATCTCTCCAAATCTGGCTTTTTCCAGATTCATACGTCAGATCCAACAACTCATGTTCCTGCTGGGCCACGGTTCCCTCCATCTCTGCCTCCCGGGGTCCAGCCACAACCTCCTCCTTCATCTGATCTGTCAGAGCACACTCCTGAATTAATTCCTGAGTGGGTTCTATATAGATACCCACTACCTGTCCAAAATTTCTGATCGCAACAGTCATCAAATCCGTCTTCTCATGTAACTGTTCCAATAAAGCACTTGTCTTGCAGAAAGCACGCACCAGAGTCTCTGAGTACATTGTTATACAAGGTCAGAAGTCTGTTCCCACGATCTTAATCTGTTGCAGCTGCGAAGCTTCCCAGTTCAAATTTAATAACAGTTTCACAAGCTCCCTCTAGGGGAAGAACTTCTATTTGTATCCAACTCTTTTCTTTTTTTTTAACAGCAGATCTAACAACAAAGTTTCCTTTTTCAGATATTTTGTCAATATTTGTTCCTTTAAAATGCGAGAGAGGACAATGGAATCACTATGTTTCTCTTCTTTTAACTGTCTGTCAAAAACATTTGTCTATAGTCAATGAACTTCCCAAAAACGTCTGTCCTGACACCCCGCTCCCAGGTTCAAGACGGTGGAAAGTTACTTTTCTTTACACTCTCTTCTGCAGGTTTAAACAATCCGAAAAAAATCCCCCCTCTTCTCCTGCTTCCAAAGGGGGTTCAGTAATTTTAGATGATGAAAGTTGATCCTTTACAAATGATTTTCTACACTCTAGTTTGCCATGTCTTTGCTTTAATCTGTCTACAAGAAACGGAAGGCTGACTTCCTGTTTAGACCTTCCCGCTTCAGTGCCAAATTAAGAGGAATTTCTTAATCCAATTTTCCGTTCTACTCACAGATCGTTGTTTAAAGGCCAATTGTCCAAATTTGATCTGCTCACGGGTAGTTGTTTTTGTAGCCAAATTGTCCCAGGAAAAAGGTAGCGCTCTCCGGCAACGGCTGTGCGGCTTTGCTCCACGGAAGAAGCAGTTGACTCTCAGCACCGCGCCACTAGCCTCTCTTCGCTCCGGAGCCCGTAATTGGGTTCCTTTACGAATTGGGGGGGCGCGAAAGGTGCCCGCCGAGTCCCATGGTCACAGGCTTCATCCGCCTGTGATTTTTTAAAGGGTCCCCGCTTCGCCGTAGCGGAACAGACCCATTTTCCGTGGAGCCAGTCCCTCCGGATCAGAGGGAATCCGCCATTACCGATGGCGCCACCCCGGAAGTTCTGGAACAACAATGGGATATTAACTCTGCCCAAGGCATGATGGAGAGCAGCAACGGCTGGGAAGACCACAGATAGAATAAATGTCACATACAGGAGGAATAAGGATATAGTTTGAATGATTCACCTATAGGGTTTATAAATCATTTAATGTGTCAAGACGAGTGGATGTCGTTAATATTGCAGTTGTTGTATAAGGGATGGTTATTTTGAATGGAATGTAGCAGATGAATAAGAGCTTGGAACGCAGAAACAAAGTAAATCATCAAACCATCAATTCTAGCATGAGGGAGGCCACCTAAATTATATACCGTAATTGGGCATCCGAATGATTGGGATCAGTAATTGTATTGTATTGTAATTTGGCATTGCTATCATGAGACTACCATTGGATTATTGTAATTGAAAACTAATAAAAGTTATTGTTTTAAAAAACATTGAGAACAAGGCTATCGGGAGCTACTAGCCATAATGACTATGTTCTATCTCCTCTATCCAAGGCAGTATGTATCCGAAAAAGAGTTGCTGGGAACTGCAGGTGGGCAGAATGCTGTTGCACTCATGCCTAAATTGTAGGCTTCCCACAGACATCTGGTCAGCAACGAGATGCTGATCCAGATGGATCCTTGGCCTGAACCAGCAGACTCATCTTAAATTCTTATGCGCGTGGTAGAATCATTCCCAGCTATTTTGTGTTAAACTATTTTTAATGTACTTTAAATTGTTGTGACCTGCCCTGGGACCTTAGGGTGAAGGGTGGAATCATCATCATCATTATCCAGTTCTCTGCCCAAGTTGAAAAAATCTGGGAGGACACACATCTGAGCCAGGCTATTGCCAGATGGACCTGATGTTCTTTCCTGTGCACGTACACCAGCAAAACTGCTGCTGTAGCACTCTGCTCTTGAGCTTTGAGCACTCACAATCCCATACCTTGGTAATGCAGATCCCTGCATATTGTGCTGGCCCTGAATCCATCTTGTCAGATACAGGGCTGTCTTAAGCATATGCGGCGCCGGGGTGCAAAGATCCGCCTGGTGCCCCCCCCCAGGTTGCCCAGTCCCAGGCGTGCAGGAGGGCAGAGCCGGCCGGCCGCCTCAAAGCCTTGCTCACCCCCAACTCACGGCACAGAGCCGCCCGCAGCAGCAGAGCCCGCCGTGGTGCTCCAACCGACAGACGGGCTCTTCCCCAGACTCAACTCTCGGGCCCTGGACTCTTGGCCTAGCACCCCTGAGAGCCTGGCGCCTGGGTGCCCCGTACCCCTAGCACCTATGGGTAAGACGGCCCTGGTCAGATTCATCCTTTTTATTCATTGTGAACGCACAGATTAACACATTGTATTCCCATTTCTCCTTGCCTTCACCCGACCTGAAGAACGCCTCACCCAGGAAGCCAAATGTAGTCAATCCGGCCACATAAAGTAGCCTCCCAGGTCCTTAACAAGCCATCTTGCTTTTGCCATCTTGAGCAGGAAACAAATACGGAAACTTATAAGTCCCTGTCATACATGCCTGGTGAGTTGTGTTCAGTGCACTGAGTCACAAGTTACACAAGCCTCCTCCATACAAACTTCTTTGTACAGAGATCTTAATGAGAGCTGCAAGTTGCTGTCTTATTTTATCCCCCCCCCCATTCTTCTTCTTCTTTTTACTCCAGGTTACCGAACTTAATCATGTGAAGAATATATTGCGCTTGCCAAAGGGCACAAGGAAGCACGCTGTAGGGATATATTTTAATGATGACACATCCAGGACGTTTGCTTGTGAATCAGGTGGGTTTAGTGGCATGGGCGGTTGTCATTAGCTGTAGTAGCTGTAACTGTCGCAGCTAGCTGTAAACGTTATAAATGTTACATACCACACTAACATGCAGATTTTTGGTCGTTTATATGCAGAGCTTGAAGCGGATGAATGGTGTAAAGTCTTGCAGGTGGAGTGTCTGGGGACTCAGATTAATGATATTAGCCTTGGAGAACCTGACCTATTGGCTTCCGGTGTAGAGAGGGAACAAAGTGGTATGTAAATACTTTTTTTTTTTTTTTAAACACAACTACAAATAGAAACGTTTAGGCTGCCTCTGCAATGTGCTCATGAAATCCATAAATACTGTGGACCAGTGCAACAGAGTGTGACATTCTTCCATGCGATCGTGTTTTGTGCTCCACGGTTGCTGCTGCTCCCAATGCTACCCTATTTATAGATGCGGATATATTGCAATGACCAAAGTTAAAGCGTTTCAGCTTCCGCCAACTCTGTAACACAGTTGGGATTTAAAAACAATTTTAAAAATTGAACCTCAGCTGTGATACAAAGAGGAAACCGAAATGTTTTGCTGCACAGAGCTAAGCCTGCCTTGACATTTCATATGTCATTTCATATGTTGTTCTGTGTTTGACCGAATCCTTCTAGGGTCAAAAGCCTGCCTCAGAAGCAGGGGAAACTTTTCAGGCTGAGGGCTGCGTGGGAAAATGTTGGGATAGGTGGGTGCATGCCAGTCAGAAGCGGTGCCAGAGGAAGAAAAACGGGAGGTGTAAAGGCTGTGACTCCTACTTTTGTATAGTAGGTTAGGTGCCAGCCAGAGAAAATTCAAGGGTCCTTGCAGGGCAACATATAAGAAGCACCACCCCAGTTCAAGATATTGGAGAAGGGAATAGAGCAGGGGTCAGCAACCTTTTTCAGCAGGGGGCCGGTCCACTGTCCCTCAGACCTTGTGGGGGGCCAGACTATATTTTGAAAAAAATAACGAATTCATATGCCCCATAAATAACCCAGAGATGCATTTTAAATAAAAGGACACATTCTACTCATGTAAAAACAGGCTGATTCCCAGGCCATCCACAGGCCGGATTTAGAAGGCGATTGGGGCGGATCTGGCCCCCGGGCCTTAGTTTGCCTACCCATGGAATAGGGCTTGGGCTAAGGAGTCTGAGGAAGAGCCATGGCATATGAAGAGTCTTGAAGGCCATGTCGAAAGGCCTAGAGGATGCATTCAGTCCCTGGACCTGAGCTTTTTCCACCCTTGGCACACTTGTATTTATTGGTTGGTTTAAAGATATCAGTGTTCAAAGTATAGATGGGGAGGAGAGAGGCACACAAGCAAGATCTGCCTCCAGCATGCCCACGTGTGATGTCCTTTGCAGTCGTCAAGCTTGGCAGCAGCCTAAAACCGCACAGATTTTGCTACGTGCCTGTCTATCTCAAACAGCTTCACAGTCAACTCCTTTAAAACTGGTAGCAGGCTTTCGCACAGTCAATCACTTCCCTTTCCTGTAGATTGTCAAAGTGACAGAGCAAAGATCAAACTAAGGATAATAGTGCGGAATGCTTGCGTGGAAGCTTCCAATGAACAATACATTCCCTGTTCCTGGAAATGCCATTCCATTGCATCCTGCCCCCCATATTCTCATTATCTAATATTTATCCCCCATTCTGTGCCCACTGAGCTCAGGCCTCACTGGGCTTTGATTGGAGTCACCCCCCTTCAAAAAAAATAATCTCCCAGGTAATATGGTGGTGCCATTTTGGACAGATAACAACTGATTCTCAAAGAGTTGAGTTTGCTCTTAGTCCCATAGCAAATTCATCTTCCCATAGTCCTTTCATAAGGATGTGAAACCAAGGCTGAAGTCAGTGGCTGTCTAGTTCCTAAGTCCCTGAAAATTGAAATTTTTAAAGACTGAATACTGTTCCTTGTTACGCATCGTCTCAACATTGAGGCAGGGAAATGCTATAGATGAGATATTTTCTACACATCATGCAGAATGAAGTACTGGCAGTATGAGTTGGTAGAATTCTAGACTTTACTAAGATAGCTGTGGGTGTCACTTTTTGTGAGTGGTCTTCCACCCTGGATAGAAGGCTACACTGAACGTTCTGATGTGCAGAATGTAGTCTTATTCCAGCATTATAAAAATTGGGGAAATTCCACATAGGGGGAGAAGCTCTCATGGACAAGGACCTTTGCTATGCCTCCCATGACCTTCTTTTAGTGTATCCTCCTTGAACACTATTGAATCCCAATTTTCTAGGGTCCTACATTGTGTGATGAGCTTACATGTGTACTGATTCAGACTATCATCCTTCAATTCTGATGGCAAAGGCGGTGGATTTATTTCTGAACTCCCCCTCCCCCCATTTGTGGAATTTCCCAATTGCTCTCTTGTTTTGTAGGACTGTTATGAGAAGAAGAACTGCAGATTTCTTTGGACATTGAGAAATGCTGTTATGATATGATTGTACAATGTCTGTCATGTTGTTTTTGATTCTGCAAGGATTTTAGTCTAAATCTTTTGTTTTTCTCCCAGAGAGATTCAATGTGTATTTGATGCCATCCCCTAATTTAGATGTGCATGGGGAATGTACCTTGCAGATAACGTTTGAAAATATCTGTCTTTGGGACATCCAGAATCCCAGAGTAAAGCTCGTCTCTTGGCCTTTAAGTGCCCTCCGACGATACGGGCGGGACTCAACATGGTTTACATTCGAAGCTGGGAGGTGAGTGAATGATTTGTAACAAGGCTCCACAAGTTCTCCAGACTCGGGAATTCTGGGCACCTCCACACCATACATTTATTTAAAGCACTATGCTGGCACTTTAAACAGCCATGACTTTCCCCAAAGAATTATGGGAACTACCCCATCCTTATTTAAATAGCCCCAGAGCTCAACTTGACCTTTAGCAATCTGGGGTTGTTTGAAACCCACTCAACCAAGATCCGCATGCCTCTGAATATACCCAATTTGACTTGGGGTTCAGGCCTTGGGCATATCTAGAGCAGCATTTCCCAACCTTGGGCCTCCAGCTGTTTTTGGACTACAACTCCCATAATCCTCAGCTAGCAAGACCAGTGGTCAGGGATGATGGGAATTGTAGTTCGAAAACAGCTGGAGGCCCAAGGTTGGGAAACACTGATCTAGAGCAACCACCATAGATACATATATTGACTAGAGCTGAATGCCAGCAGCATACTAAACAATGGTTTAATTGGGGCATGGGGGTAACAACAGAAAACCTCCACACGGAAAACTGAGCAGCAACATCATTCCCTTGTATGCAACTTGCATACCTTAGATCCTTCGTATATATTTTAACTTGAATGAGTAGATTGTTGTTTTATCCACAACGAGAAGACTGATACTTTGGCTCAATGTGGAACCAATTGCATTTGATAACTTCTGCCACAAGTATAGATGAAATCTCAGAACGTGTGATGATCATCTTCCAAATAATAAATTAAAAGCGAAAGAAAGGGAGCTGTTCTGCTTTTGTGTCCTCCTTTCCACTGAATGTTTTTGTAAGGCTTTTATTCTTATATAAATCTAAGAAAGAAAGAAAGAAAATAAATTCTGCCTGCCAAGCCATTGAAGCTGCTGTGGTTTGGTATCTAAACTTCTATATTAGTTGCATGCTTATGAATATGCACACATACTTACAATGCGTATATTTACTTTCTGACTTAACACATATTAACAGGGCCACCCCAAGACATTTTGTTGCCTGAGGCAAAGGACAAGATGCCCCACTTCAACTGGATGTTCATAAACCAAATGGGCTGACACTTGACTCTTCCTTCAGCCCTCATGACAGAGCAGTATCCTGCACCACGCTTGAGGGTAGCAGGCTAGCTTAGGAGTGCAGGAAGAAGTGGCTTACTGGGTGGGGTTGAACTAGCTTCCTGGTTGTTGTTTCTTACTGGGAGGGAGAGAGGAAGGTGGTGGGGAGGTTGGCGTGAGGTAAACGCACTGGCACAGTCAATCTGGCACCCCTGCCAGTGTGTTTGCACCACCATCTTGCCTCTAACACTCTGCTTCCCAGTAAGTAACAGCGATCCACCAGCCAGCAAACTAATGTAGCAGCTCCACTCCATCCAGTAAGGCTGTTCTGGATTCAGGGCAGGCCACGTGGCATCCCTAGTTCTGTTGGCTTGCTGCCATGCCCCGCATCTGACACCTAAGGCAACCTCCTCCTTCTGCCAAACAGTAATGCCTGGCCCTCCATGTCAATCAGCTGCTGTTATCTCCTCATGCTGTTACATTTCTGTGCAGGCAGTACTACAGATGCATGCTAATAAGTCAGTCCGCTCACATGTGACCCTACTCTGTTCTCTTTCTGGCAGGATGTGTGACACAGGGGAAGGGCTATTCATCTTTCAGACGAGAGATGGGGAGGCAATCTATCAGAAGGTTCACTCGGCAGCTCTGACCATAGCAGAACAACACGACCACTTATTACAGAGTGTGAAAAACTCAATGGTATGCTTACTGGCCCTGCCTGTCATCCTCTAGCAGTCAGCGGTAATGACATAAAATCCATAGGCCACCTTCCTAAGCATGAGTTCAGATTGTGATTTTCAGATTGCAAACAGATTTGAGTGTGGGGTTGTCTTCCTCTCCTCCTTGTTAACTCATTCAATTTCTTCATTTTTTCATGCATGGGGTTATCGGACAAGTCTGTAACTATGGCTGCTTTTCAATTAACTAGCCTGATAAGAAATGGCTCTGCACCAGATTTGCAGATTGGTTTATGGATTTTGTTTCTTTCTAAGAAGTGAGCATGTTGTCTAAGTTGCTACAACTGATCTAAGTCTTGTAGACTAGCACGAGTAATGTATCAAAATGGGGTAGGGTGGTGGGCTTCAGCTTTTGCATGAAATGTAAAGTACCTGCTCCTCATACTTCTTGCTATTACTTCTAAGTCCCTGATGCATTATTGAAATGCAAGTTAAAAAGGGTATATAAGAATGACATCTTCTGTATCTTCACATGTGTAGCCCATGTTCCATGTGATCTATATGAATCTCTGACCCTTTTCAATACTTTAGCTGCCTAGAGTGGCTGGGGCAACCCAGTCAGATGGATGGGGTATAAGTAACAACAACAACAGCATCATCCATATTTAGTATCAGATGCTAGACTAAATAGTACTTTGGTATGACTCAGTAGCGTTTATGTTCTTATTTCTATTACCTATCAGCTTCAGGGCTCTGACCATCTTAAATAAATCTTATGATAAATCGTATGAGTTTTATTTCAGCAATATTGCTTAAACTGGCATAATTTGCATAGGAACAAGCCTATTCTTCTGAAGAAAGTTGATGCACGCAAGCATCAGGCAAATGTCACAATATATCAAGCATTCCCTCATGCATGACAGAGGAAAAGGAAAGCCTTTTCTAAGATGGTGCCTGTCACTCACAAATGTTAATATTAAAATTATATTTCTAGAGAAAGCTGCTACCCAATTTTGATTCGCAAAGCCCTAAACAACTTGTTTCTAAGGGATAGTCTGAACCCTTATATCTCAGCTTGATCATTGAGATCACCTGCAGGAGCATCTTTGGTCCTTCCCATGTCAGCAAGACTCATGTTGGAAGGGACACCCCCAGGGTCATCTAGTCTGACCCCCTGCAAAGCATTTGAAAACAAGACACTGAGACTTTAGTGTCACCAGTGCAGTCTTGTGGAATAATCTGTTCAGCAGGTGTCATCTGTACTAACTTTTAAACACCTGCTGAAAACCTTTCTATTCTACCAGGTCTGTGCAGGCAGTTAAGAATATTTCCTTCTATAATAGTTAACTGATGTCCGCTTTTAACATTTTTCATTTTTTTTTATTGCATGGTTTTATGTTTTATTGCTGTAAACCACTTTGATTTTTTTTTTAAATGACAGTGGTATATAAATATATGTATGTATGTATGTATGTATGTATGTATGTATAAATAAATAAATACAACTGGGAGCACCTTTTATAGAATTATGGAGTTGGAAGGGACCCCATGATCTATCTAGTCCAGCCCCCTGCAATGCAGGAATCTTGGCTCAAGCATCTGTGAGACATGGCCTTCCAACCCACGCTTGAAAAGCTCCAAGGAAGGAGAGTCTCACCTAGGAACTCTCTGCCCCTTGACATTCCTGCTAAAAGCATTTTTGCTTTGGCAAACCTACCCAGATACATCAAGTCAGCATGCATTTTAATATGTATTTTTAACATATAATGTATATTTGCAACTGCCAATTCTATTTATATTTTGAAATGGTTTAGACCTACGTATTTTTAATTTCTGACTTCATTGATTATTTTAATGCATATTTTATATAAACCACTTGGAGGTTTATATAAAATAAGCAGTATACAAATTACGTTGCATATATGAAAATCTTTTCTTTTGAGCTCCCCCCTTCTAATTGTTTTTGTCTAGCTGTTCTCTTCTAGCAAGTTTTACATTCTCTGCAAATAAAAATGATCATTCCCATTTTCACTGAATAGGAGTTAACAGTGAAATCAAAATCACGAGGGTTCTGCTTTGAGAAATGGGGTGGGTTGTGTGTGTGTGTGTGTGTGTGTGTGGTTTTTTTTTTGTGTGTGCAATGTTTGACAGAGTTCTGCAATTCCAAAAATAGATTCCGAGTTGTTTCCATGACACTGGAATGTAGGATAACATTACAAGTTCTGTTGAAGCATAACTTGAGGGACCATATTTATTTAACATGCTGTGGGCGGAAGCCTCTATTGTATGTTCAGTGTTCGTTAGATTGGTGTGGGTGTTTAAAGATAACTAGCTGATTTCATATTAATTCCACCCCACACTTTTAGTCTTTGTCTGAACTTTGAAGAAATTAGAAGTGAAATATGAGACTTAAATCAATATATCTGGATATAATAACTGACCAAGAGTTAAATCGCAAAAGGGAAATGTAAAGATTCAAAACTGTCCTTTATTATAGCTTCCGTTCCCCTCCCAGTGGTACTAAATTAGTAAAAATGACAAAGTGCTGCGTGGATCCCATCTTTTTAACGGGAACATGAACTGTACAGTGGTACCTTGGGTTAAGTACTTAATTCGTTCCGGAGGTCCGTTCTTAACCTGAAACTGTTCTTAACCTGAAGCACCACTTTAGCTAATGGGGCCTCCTGCTGCCGCTGCGCCGCTGGAGCACAATTTCTGTTTTCATCCTGAAGCAAAGTTCTTAACTTGAAGCACTATTTCTGGGTTAGCGGAGTCTGTAACCTGAATCATCTGTAACCTGAAGCGTCTGTAACCCGAGGTACCACCGTACTTGTAAAGAAAATGCTTTTCTCCAGATACACTTTTATCTAAGGGCAGATCTACACTATACATTTAAAGCACATTCAGTGCACATTTAAACTAGTTGCCCCTCCCCCAAAGAATCCTGTGAACTGTAGTTTGTTAAGGGTGCTGAGAATTGCAGAGTTGTGATGGGGAAGCTACAGATCCCCAGATTCTTTGGGGGAAGATATGTGGTTTAAATACACATTGAATGCACTTTAAATGCATGGTATGGAACGCATTAAGCCAGGCTTACTCAACCTTGGCCCTCCAGATGTTTTGAGACTACAATTCCCATCATCCCTGACGACTGGTCCTGCTAGCTAGGGATCATGGGAGTTGTAGGCCAAAAACATCTCGAGGGCTGAGGTTGAGGAAACCTGCATTAAGCGCTTAGGGCAGGTATTTTATAATTGCCTTCTTTTGTTTCCCTTTGGCTGAAGCCTACCACCCTACCCCTTGTGATATGCCATATGTTAAATACGGTGTCAATACTGAACCCCTAAGTAACTTCAATATATTTTTCATTCATTGGATGGGAGGCCATCTTGGGTTCCATTATGGAAGAGAAATGGGATACACATAACTAAACAATCTTCAGTATCCCCCCTCTCTCTCTCTCTCTCTCTCTCTCTCTCTCTCTCTCTCTCTCCTGCCCAAAAGCTCTAAAAATGTTAGCTTTGCAATACTTCTTTGCTAGATAGCCTTTTTTCATAGAACTGCAGTTCCCTGGGGTCCTTAGTGACAATCACAGGGTTTCTAAACTATTCTGAAATTTTAGTCTAGACTTGACCCTTAAGAAAGGTCAAGAAGGCAAAAGGAGGAGATACCAGCTTCCCCCCCATATATAAATGCATGCATTTATTGGACAACGCATTGCATTTTATGCTCCTCAGGAGCACAACTCTAATAAATACAATACTTTTCTTTTTTTAGGGGGTTACAGACTGCCTTTTGTGTGTGTTTTCCTGGGTGTCAGATTCCTTCTTCACTGTGTGTTGATCTTCAACTCCTTCTGTTGTTTCTCTCTATTCTGCCTAGTATTTCTCACCATGCAACACCAGCTTCTGTTGGTCTCCTTTCTGAATGAAAGAAATCTAGCGTGCTATTTCCCTTGTGATCATATTCATCCAAGGCCCATTTCCCCCTTCTGCAAGGCAGAATAGGGGTTACAGTCTTAATCATCAGAATCACAATACAGTCATACATTGGTTTTCGGACAGCTTAGTTCTTGAACCTTTTGGCTTCCGAACATTGCAAACCCAGAAGCGAGTGTTCCGGTTTGTGAACTATTTTTGGAAGCCAAACATCCGACAGGGCTTCCATGGCTTCCGATTGGCTGAAGGAACTTCCTGCAGCCAATCAGCTTTGGTTTCCAGATGTTTTGGAAGTCGAATGGACTTCTGGAATGGATTCCGCTCGACTTCCAAGGTATGACTGTATTCAGACATATTTGTTACTTTCTCTATCTCTATCATAGAAGAAGAATTGTAGAGTTGGAAGACACCAGGGACTCATTTAGTCCTACCCCCTGCAATGCAGGAATCTTTTGCCCAGCATGGAGCTTGAACCCATGACCCTTAGGTTAGGAGTCTCATGGTCTATCAGCTGAGCTATCCAAACTTTTTATATAACTAAGTCACATAAAAAGCAATGGTAGCAGTGTTTGTGCATAAGAGAGATAAAAAAAAAAATGAGTCTTGAAATCCATATTTGGGCAGTGTCTTTACTTGGGAATAACGGAAGTGTCACAAAATAGTGGCAAGTCATATTTTGCAAAATGCTCCTTTTGCAGTAACACATTCCCGAGCTAAAGTTTCTATAAGCTCAAGCTAGGTTTTAACGCAACATTTTCATGATTGAATTATATCGCCATATGTTTATCTCAAGGTCCGTTGCCTTTTCTTTCAGCTACAGATGAAAATGAGTGACCGGGCTGTTTCCCTCAGCACCATGGTCCCCTTGCCCCGCAGTGCATATTGGCAGCACATCACACGGCAACACAGCACTGGGCAGCTTTTTGGCTTACAAGGTAGGAAGCTGATGGAATAACGGTTGAGGCCTTCTTTCATTAATAAGTACTATATCACGTGTATCACCAAACGATGGTTTGGTATGCCAGGAATGGGCTTGCATGCTTCCTCCTTCCCTCACATGCTCTGATTCTCTTCCTGTCTTCCCATGTCAAACTATGGTTTGTGCTCACTCTGCAAACCAGGGTTTCCAGCTTGAGGCTGAAGGACAAGCACAAACTACAGTTTGCCAATTTGGTTGTAGTAACAAACTCTCGTTCGCTGTCAACCAGGAGGTTCAGGAGACAAGTGGAAAGGGCAAAAGGAAGAAATGAAGAAAAAGAGGGAGCAGATGAGCCCAAGGTTTGCTAGTGTAGTGTCATGGCCATGTGTGAGCCAACAGTGATCAGTTTATCAGAAGACATTTCCCCACTGAAAAGACAGATGGATGCCATCAGTCCTTGGGTGATATTTCCCTCATACTGTCTAGCCTTCACATCAATATTTTCTGGGCTATTGGCCAAATATTTGCCAGGATTGTTGTTAGAAGAACAGCCACTTCCCTCCTCTTCTATAGTTATTCTGGACATTTTGCAAAAGTGCTGCGAACTATACCTCATATCTCCTCACATATGATCACAGGAAATTTTATAATAAAGTTTTTAATTATCCTCCCCTGCTAAACATGGCAGATGTGTGTGTGTGGAGGGGGCATATATATGCATCTAATCATTGGACAGCATGTTAAATGTGTTTTCTTATGATCTCTGAGGGACATCTAGTGGCCAGGATAAGTACATTCACTAATGTTCAATATAACATTTCATTGCCTGAATCTGGAAAGGTGGCTGCTCATACCTTCAGCTGAAGTTCCTGTGGCTGCTTCATGTTTCTAAATTCAAATCCTGAGAATCTAGGGAGGAAGGAGTCTTGAAAATGCCCATCTTTGCTCAGCCGTGTATACCTGAAGGTTGATCCCAGTTTTTAAGCACATAAAATGAATCAAAATATTCCCAATATGTGATAATTAAACTATAGGGATTTCTCCTCCTCCTTTTATGTTTGAAGAAGAGTCTTTTATCTGGAATGTGCAGTGGGCAAAATAATAAAGTTTTGATCTGTGTGAGGATCAGCTGTGGGGGCCGTTCTTGGCAACGTATTTGGAACAGCAAAAGAACATACGAAAATGTGGGAGAAAATTAACAGATCAATGGAAATTGGACTTAATCTAATAGGAATCCCAAACCTAGTTTGAGAGTATTCAGACCAGAAGTTATTTGAGCCACATTCAGCTAAGCATGAACAGGGCTAGGTAGATTTCTAGGGTTAAAAACTGGGCAAAGCCAAGCCTTATCTGAAGTGGAAGGCAAGGTGTGAAATGGAATTATGTAAGATGGCAGCAGGTGCAGGAAGGAGAAGCTGGCCTGGTCAACAGGAATAAGGACACACTAGGATTAATTGATGCTGAAAAGCATCAAAAATCCATTGTGCAAAAAGGACAGGGAAGAAGAAGAGGAAGAGTTTGGATTTGATATCCCGCTTTATCACTACTCTAAGGAGTCTCAAAGCGGCTAACATTCTCCTTTCCCTTCCTCCCCCACAACAAACACTCTGTGAGGTGAGTGGGGCTGAGAGACTTCAGAGACGTGTGACTAGCCCAAGGTCACCCAGCAGCTGCCTATGGAGGAGCGGGGAAGCGAACCCAGTTCACCAGATTACGAGTCCACCGTTCTTAACCACTACACCACAGGGCTCTTCCTGAGTCCCAATTGACTGAGAAAAAGTTAGGCTGGGGTTTACCTTCTGTTGGTTGTTTTTACTGCTTTTAAAGGCGATATATATATATATATAACTGTCCTGCTATCTGTGGGCCTCCAGCTCCCATCATCCCTGATCACTGGCCTTGCTGTCTGGGGCTGATGGGAGTTGGAGTCCAACAACAACTGGAACACCACATATTCCCCACCCATGTATTAGACATTACATGTATGATAGTTGGACTGATATGATTTTTTTTCCCTCCACCCCCTGATCCGATTTGGAGAAGATAGTCCACTGAAGATCCATCGGACAGAGACTTTCCCCACCTATCGGTCAGAGCACTGATAAAAGAAAGCCGAGGACATTTGAAATGTGTGCTCCTTGAGATAGACTGCTCCAGCAAAGAGGCTTTCATTGACAATTGGCCAACAATAATGATGCTGACAGAAGAAACAAAGACTGGATTAAGACTGCGATGTTATTTTTTAACCTTCAACCAAAAGATATACATCTTAGAGATAATATTGGAAAGTTGCTATATTTCATAGTTACATCCAGAAGAAAAGAAGCTGTCTTTTGGTGTGTGATTATTATTATCTTTGGAATATAATTGATATCTGTTCATGATTTGTCCTATGCTATCAGTTGGTCAAGATTCATTTTGATGGTATCTTAGATAATGTAGTTTACATGTATAAACTACATGACATATTTGTATATTTTTCTTTAACTTCAGTGTCCTGATTCATCACTGAGCATAGCAATTTTCAGAATGGTGACCAGTTTTTTGGAACTGGAATCTGTTGTCCCTGTCTATTAAAGTCTGATTAAGACTAATCTAAGTTATCAGCAGACATTTCTCTTGTCTTTTTATGTTTCATTTCATACTCCTCCTGTGTTTTAAAATGCCTTTTAGAAGTTTAGAAGTGAAACGCTCTTTGCCACATCGCTTGAAATATTGCATGCAGGTTTTCTGAGAGACACAGGTTGAGAACATCAACAGAAGCACCATATCTAAGGTGCTGCCAACAAGTAATAAGAGTCTGACTTGACGTTCTCAACGTCTTATTGGGAAGTGCATTGCATCCCAATGGCATCTGAAGAGGTAAGCACATACGTACATCCTTTGCCGAACTCAAATCGAGGGATTTCATTTCTTGTAAACGTTCAAGTTATGGAGCTGAGAAAAATAAACAATATTGCAATAGGCATTTTTAATAAAGCTGAACTTATATAATAGTAGCTTGTACACATGCAGCTAAACAATAAAGTGAGAACCAAAACATGAAGTGAAATAGTATGCTCAAGCCTTAATATGAAGGTGGTGAAAGTGAAGTGGAAGATATTAAGGGGGGGGGGGACTAGTGAAGAGAAATATGGATGCAGAATAGCCCAGACTGAGACAACTGTTGAATGCAACAGAACATGAATTTACAAAACATAGAAAAGTGCCTTATTCAGAATCAGACCATTTGTACATCTAGCTCAGTATTGTCTACAGTGAGTGGCAGAGGTGCTCCAGAATTTCAGTCAAGGACAGTCACATTTTTGCCTGGAGATGCCAGGGATTGAACCAGGGACCTTCTGCATTCAAAGCAGCTGTTCCACCATTGAGCTTGTCCTGATAGTCATGGCTTGACTCATGTAGGGTTCTAACCTATGTAGGGCAGTATCTCTATGTTAGCATACCTAGGATCCTTGGCCCAGCTTTAAATGAGGGTGAACTGCTACAGGATATACGGGAAACTCCTTTACAAATACAGTGGTACCTCAGGTTACAAACGCTTCAGGTTACAGACTCCACTAACCCAGAAATAGTACCTCGGGTTAAGAACTTTGCTTCAGGATGAGAACAGAAATCGTGCTCTGGTGGAGCGGCGGCAGCGGGAGGCTCCATTAGCTAAAGTGGTGCTTCAGATTAAGAACAGTTTCAGTTTAAGAAGGGACCTCCAGAACGAATTAAGTACTTAACCCAAGGTACCACTGTAATAATCTAAGTCATCCCCATTCATTTAAAATATGGTATAAATAGAAGAAACAAAACAAAAGCCAAGCCATTTATTTTACAAACAGGAGTGTGTACAGTGGAGTTAATTCACACAAATATTGAAAGAAGTAATAAAGTATCAAATAACAAAGCTGGTCAGGGAGTCTGGGCCTTAGCTTTGCTACTGTATAGGTTTGGCCTTCCAGGAAACAGCTCTGAGCATGCTCAGAACAGATGTATAGGCTCTTGGATCTATCAGAAAAGTCGAGCTGCTAATATGACTGGATTGCCATCATGACAACAGGAGGGAGGAGGGAACTGCACAACTGAGACTAAGAACCAGTAACTCCTTTAGCACACATATTTACTATCATATTGGTTTTTTTGGCCTGTAGGCAGATGGGTGGAACCTCTTGACCATAGCAGTACTTTTGGACTGAGACTGGCTGAGTGGTGCAGAGAACTGCCTGGTCAGAGAAATGGAGATTGACAGAAATATCTTGGTGAGCCTCTCAAAATTCAAATGAATTATGGGAGGATGTATGGGATAGAAAACAGTGCAGCTTTGAGATTTTGGGAGAAACTGCACAGGGAGTAGGAGAAATGAAGAGTGGAAGCAATGCAACAAACTAAAATTCTAGAATTCAGCAATGGCAATTCATTGCTTGTCATCATGTTTCCAAGGTATGCTCTCAGTTAACAATGTATATTTATAACTTGGACCCTTTTCAGGGACTATTTGGTGTTTTGCAACTTTCTGACTAGTTGCAGGACCTTAGCCAGACCTAGCAGAGTACACGCAGAATCCACGGAAGCTATTGGCGACTTGGCTGCAGACAGGATAGATGAAGCAGGAACCAGGAACTTGTAGTTAGGTGTTTATTATATACAGTGGACTATTTACAGGAACAGAACATGGATCTTTAGCTAGCTCTCTCATACATGACTCACAACTCCTACACTGACACACAGAACTCTGAACCTCTGAACACTGAACTACTGAACTACTGAACTACTGAACTACTGAACTACTGAACTAACACATTCCAGTTAGTAGGCCATTAATTATCACTCCTTTGAGAGAGCTTGACCAATCAGGGAGCTTTCTCCATGCCTCTGTTATCACCAGGCAGACTTACTCCTTCAGATTGCCTTCTGGCTGTCTGCCAAACCTTAATTGACTCTGTGTGGGTAGCTGCACGTACACAGTTTCCCACAGTTGATGAGACTGGTTGTACTATGCATAGCACTTTCCCCTGACAGCTGAGTCAGGCACACAGGTTGGTTCCTGGATGCAATGTTTTAGTATGTAATTTTTTGAAGTGTTCAGAGTCATTTGCATGGCCTCATTGCTACGCATTGTATCGCCACGCTATTTGCCTACATATGACTTGAGGACAAAGCATTCTGATCAGGAAGGATGCCCAAGTCTGTACCTGGTTTTCCATATGAGAATGGAGGCTACTTGCCACTCACTTTTCACTGCAACACCTGGCATTCCAGCAAAGGCCAGGCGACCACTCAAAGTGGCATATTGTTAGACCCAAGGGGTGCCACCACGAGGAAATGTGCCAGAAGTGACTTGCTGGGTAGGGTGGTACTCCCCAGCAGGTAGATTGCCGTTGCTTACTAGGAAGGCGAGGTGGCAGGGAGGTCAGCACAGTACAAATGCCCTGGCAGAGCCAATCCAGTGATTCTTCCAGTGTGTTCGCACCATGCCAGCTTTCTTGTCCCACCTGGTAAGCAACAGTAACTCAACAGCCAGGAAGCTTGTGCAACAAAGAAAGCGATGGAAAGATAAATGTCACTTAACAGCATTTGCAGAGAAGGATGTGGAGAGGTTGCATGCAACAGGAGACTAGGTCATAGAATCATAGAATCATAGAGTTGGAAGAGACCACAAGGGCCATCGAGTCCAACCCCCTGCCAAGCAGGAAACACCATCAGAGCACTCCTGACATATGGTTGTCAAGCCTCTGCTTAAAGACCTCCAAAGAAGGAGACTCCAAAGAAGGTCGTCCACAGCTGTTGAGTTGTGCAAAGTTAAACAGTTCAGAGCATCACAAAGCAATCATAAATGAAATGGGAGACCAAAGAGAGCACCAATGCATTTTTCTGTAGTGAGCATGGAAATGAATGAAATGGTACCCAGCTATGCAGAAGAGATTCCTGAAAACCTGAAAGCACAGCTAAGGATTCTAACTAATCCTCCGTTAAATGTAGCTCTGAAATGCCAGCACAAAAAATTGTGGGAACAAATGTCCCATAAGCCACCTGATGCGCTATAATTCTGCTAGTCTGATGACTGGGCAGTGGGTAAGAATAGTCTTTGGATTTGCAATTTTATCAGCTTTATCATCCTTAGGAGTCCTTTCAAATCGAAAGGCTGTAGAAAAGTGAGGTGTCCTAGTAAATACGGAGACAAAGTAGGTGAGGACAAAGAAAGGTGCAGCTCACCTGCTTTGCTCTGGCCAAAGGATCCATGTGAAATAAAGGACTGTTAGATGGCATTGTGTTGCTTAGCGAGGAAATCAATACAACACTGTTGTTTAAGACCTTCTGCACAGTTCTGCTTAATTCCGGAGAGCTTAATTTATAAGGAACACAGATTAAAACGTTATTTATTTCTGGGCTGGGCTTCTCACATAAATAAGTGGTTTAAACGGCAATTTGGGACTGAATTGGTTGCTATCTTGGAAATTTTGTCCTGCTCGCACTTTCCCTTGGGCTGACGACAGCATCCATTTGTGTTTCTGTTTATCATGGAGGTGGCAGTTCTGTAGAAGCCTCCATCAAGACTAAATCCACCCAGTAATTGATTGCTGTTGTTTAGTCGTTTAGTCGTGTCCGACTCTTCGTGACCCCATGGACGCCAGGCACCCCTGTCTTCCACTAGTAATTGATACAGTGCAACTATATATACAATGGAGTAGTCCAGTTATAAGGAAGATGGGAAATTCCATAAACCTGGCCTTGAAACGATAAGCCCGTTAGTCAGCTGCATCTGATATCTGCCTACATTCCACCGGAGTTGTGGCAGAGAGGGAGTGGGACCCAGAGAGGTCATGCTACTTTCGAATGTTTTGCATTCCTCTTATGATTTGGAATATCATTTATGACATTTCGTGTCAAAAGCTGTCGCAAACTGTTAGACAAATGTGTACCTGTGGATACTGATGATCAGAATCAATTTGTCAGATGGGTTGTTGCTCCACCATTGTGAGCTGAATTAGCTAGAGAGGTCATTAGCTAAGCAGAAGGAGAGGGATTGCGAGATCAGATCGCCTCTGGCTTTGGGTAAAAGGTTTCCAAAAAGCTGCTTGGAGATGAATTCTAATAGGTTCCTTTATACTTTAGGGCTTGTATGTAATGATGAGATGGTGCACGAGTGACTGAATTTTGACACTGCATGCCTCGTTCACTGGAATACCAAAAGATTCTGAAATATTAAATTTAATCAATCAATCAATCAATCAATCAATCAAATCTTCTGAGGATCACAGGGTGGTTTACAATATAAAAACACAAAACACAAAAAATAAAATAACATAGTACTAAAGAAAAATAATAACAACCCCCTCCCCATAAGATTTGGGAAACGTTGATTTAACGTTTTTAAGTTTGGTTTTATTTGTTTTATTTTAAAATGTAAATACCAGTTGCTCAATAGAAGACCGCTAAGCGGTTTGCAATGGAATATATATGTATGTGATTGTAATAAATCTTTGCATGGCTTAACTGTTTATTCAAGTTAACCATCTATTAATATTCAACATTTCATTTTCATAAGTGCTGTGGACATATATATAGGTATAAAAGCAAGAGTGTGCATGATCAAGCACATGGCTTCCCGTGCACCAAAATCCCCCTGAAATCAATGAGACTTAAGAGCTTAGAAAGCTGTGCTGGAATGCAACCAACAAGGCCTTTAAACACCCCAGGACTGCGATTTCAGCTTACTATTAATTAAATGACCTTGCACATAAACAGCATGCAGAGGAAATAAGGGTTGAGCATTGCTACCCTGTGGCTCCGCATAGTGAATCTGACATACTTTCTGTCTTTGCATTGCTGTTCATTTTAACAAGGACAGAGTAAACTACCTTGGTTCCAAGCAAGAATGACATGCGCCCCTATAAAGGAAAGTTTTTAATGTTTAATGCATTATTATGTTTTTATATATGTTGAAAGCTGTCCAGACTGGCTGGAACAACCCAATCAGATGGGCAGGGTACAAAAAATAAATTTATTATAATTATTAGTTTCAGCCACTTCTAGACGTCTCCTGCTCTAGATGGGAGTCAAAGCTTGCAACCCTAGCCCTGTTTGAACTCAATGGGACTTACATCGGAGGAGACATGCATAAGCAGGAGATTATCCCCATTCATTAGTGAAACATGCAGATAATTTTTATTATAGCATAATTATTTATCATTCTTAATTTAGCAATATTCAGTCTTGCTGCACCTGGGACAATGATATTGTGACCGGTGTGCTGTAGCGGTTAGAGCAGGCTTCCTCAACCTCAGCCCTTCAGATGTTTTGAGACTACAACTCCCATCATCCCTGACCACTGGTACTGCTAGCTAGGGATCATGGGAGTTGTAGGCCAAAAACATCTGGCGGGCCGAGGTT